AGACCACGATGATCATCCACCACATGTCTTGAACCATGCCGAGATCATCCTGACCTCCAGACCTCCTGGCGAACCGCCTAGCCGCTGGCTGGCTCATTTACGGCGTGCTCCCTGCAGCTGCGGCGCCAATCGAGTCCGTTTCACACTGAGGGCACCTGCATCGCCCCCCTTTCGACGCACAACGCAGTGTGTTGGCAACTGCATCTCCTTCCTGCGGGCTCCACCACGCTTCCTCCGCGCCCACCGCCGCTAACAAAATTCCAGACCCTCTTAAACACCATGCTGCCCCGGTTGCATAGCGTCTCGTTTCAGATCTCCCTTTTCTTCCCTTGGCCTCCAGTCGTTCTGCTTTTTGTCGCTCCTTTAGAAACCCGCGTGGTGTTGTCGTTCCGTGCGTTCTGGTCTCGAGCTCGACGCTCTCTACATTCGCTTCGCTTCCCTCATCTCCAATGGACATGACTTGCTCCAACTGCTGACGATTTTTTTCTCCTCTCATTCTCCGTCGGACCCACGCTCTTTTGATGTCCTGTTCGTTGGACCTTAAATAACTGTCGCTCGTTTTGACGTCGCTATCTGTCGAGGCATTCCTTATTGCATCATCAAATTTTTGACCCCCAACCAAGACCCCGAAAACCACAACAAACAATCACATTCGCCATTCTTCACTTCCTCTTCTTCGGTCGCTCTCTTGCCACACTCTCAGCAGCCATTGTTGGACGACCTTTTTTCTCTTCGTGCTCTGTGTTTATGACTAGAGCTGGGTTCACCTTTGTTTTTGTTTCCCCTCAGTATTTTTAGCCGCCATTTCCGGCGTCATCTTTTCGGATATTACATTTCAATTCTCCCGCCGTCTACTGATAATGTACTAATCGTCACCTCGATATGCGCTCGGCTGGACCTTCAACGAATGCTCCTCCCCAGCGGAGAGCTCTGCATGAGCGCACTCCCTCCCAGACGAATGAGACCTCCCCACCCGAATCGGTGCGCACGCCCAGCGATAAGTACAATGATAGCGAGGAAGAGAACAATGTCTACACGGTGACGCCTTTTCCAACAAAGCCGGAACACATCCTGCCGCCGCGCCCCGGGAAAGGGCAGGAATTCATCCCAGACTCCCGGTTCCACGTTGACGAGGCCCCCAACGAATCTACCGCATCTCTCTCCACCGATCTCACGCGCTTGGGCGATAGCAGCCTGGAACAGTCCATTGGCGACCTCTGGGACTTGTCTTCCACCTTCGATGCCGCAAATACCCCCTCCCAGGTCTGGGAGGACGACCCGTCCTCCAGCAAATCCTCGTTGCCGGACCCAGACCTACCAGAGCACAAACCATTTGACCGCACTTCGGACGAGAATTCAGTCGCGGAGTATTCCGATGAGGAATTGACAAATACCCTGCCAACAGCTGCCCCGACAATCAAGACGGTCGTTTCCAATGCGTCATCCAGTCAGCCGTCGCAGCCGGAACATGCGGCCTCAAGCAATTCGAGTCCAAACGTCGTTCCAATCGGGCCGCCGTCCAGTCCAAATTTCGTTGCCTTGGATAGTTCCAGTCTGAATTTTGTTCGGTTGGGTGCTTCGTCCAACCCGGATACTGGCACTCGCTCAAACTCATTGTCTTCATTAAACTCCTTGGGCACCGTAATCCGGTATGCCGGTGCTGCCCCGTGGACACATGGGTCGTCCTCGGAACACTCGAGCTCGCGCTCCCAGTCTTTTCGTTCAAACCAGCCGCACAATCATATGGCTTCCACCCGGTCAAGCTCCTCTCGCCTTCGCGAACGAAGCCTCTCTCGCGCCACGTCCTCCTCCCGGAGTGGGCCGCCGTCAGATATTCAAGCCATCATCGATAGCGGAGTGTACATCCAATACCCTACGATTCGTGCGCCTTCCGCGTCGAGTTCAAGAGTCGACATCTCGAACATCGAAGAGTCGCCCGAGCATGAAGCACTGGAGCAGCCAGAAAATAACTTGGACCGTTTCAGGTCTCACCTTTCAACGGTCACATCTCGATGGTCTGCGGAATGTGAATCCGGCCGCGTTTCCCGAGCGGCAGGACGGATTGAAACCCTAGAGGAACCTTCACCCCCATCCACTGCACTTGTCCGCCAGAAACCTTCATCTTCCGTTTGGCTTGTGAACGGCTCCGATGGAAGCGCAAGCCTGGACAACGTGTCTAGACCCCCTGTCCGTGGAATGCACTCGAGATTTCCTCGTAGTCTCTCGTCTGGGTCAAGACAAAGCAGCATGCGGAGTATTAAGCGTCCCGCCACGGGCTCTAGCTTCGCTTTCCATATGATCCCGACGTGGGCCAGGATGTACTATAGCTTTGATGGAACCGCTGTCAACTCTGCCTTGTCCCTCGTGGAAGGCAGCCGGCCCGGTACCGCACGTTCAACGACCTCAAGGCCAGGTACAGCACGCTCAGCCACCTCCAAGCCTATCGCTATCGACCGCATCTCCACGGCTGCAAGTCAGCCAGAGACCCGCGAAAAGTCACCGGTTGACCCTCGCGATCCACGGAGTCACTGGGTGGAGGGCATGGAGATCACTGAACAGACCGGCACCCGGCGCACATTACGGCAAAGCTGGTCCCCTCATCTGTATCCTGACCGAAACATCGCGCGACAGAGAGGAAGCACCTGGCGTGCGCCGTCATTGGATTCCCGGACAGAGCCATTGCTTGGACGTAGAAACATCCAAGTGTGGTCTTTCTGTCTGGGTTTTGTTTGCCCTTTGAGTACGTTCGCCAACAACATTATGGATGATAACCGCTGACAATGACTTAGCTTGGCTTGTTGCATCCTTTCTGCCGCTTCCTCCGAAGCCGGAAATGGTACTGGCGGATGACAGCGAATCGGACGTTGAGACGGCATTACAATTGCGACTGTTCGACCTCGAGCGGAAGCGGTATCAAAACGCTCGATGGTGGCGGAACCTCAATCGCTGGATGAATTGCGTGGGCTTGGTGATTATCGTCATCATTGTGAGTGCCGACCTGTCCCGTCTATAAATTCCCTCGACTAATTGCTCCTTAGATTGTATTAGCTGTCGTTGGGACCCAGGTGGGCTTTTAATTCAAGCCCACCATTGCACTTCGCAGCTTTCTACGACAGTATAGACAGGCTACGCCTTGTTTTTGTTCTTTTTGCATGGATTGACTCCGGAGGAGTCTTTCGACCTTTTGCCATACCCTTTTTTCGCATTGTGATACCTCTTCGCTTCTCTTACCCCTTCGTTCAATCTTGGGTGCTGCTGGTTTGGATTCTGATTTCAACACAAAACTACTCGACATGACTGCACGACGTTATGCACTTAATGTTTGATATTATTAATTTGCGTTTCTCTGTCCTGAATTGCTGTCGGCCGCATGCTTCCCTTCTCGGTGCCTCAGATGCGCTCGCACTGCAAGTCATCAAGAGGCACCCACCTGGGCGTATGGGGCAATGGCTCAATTGGGGTTATGACAGATTATGGATATATGTTTCTTCTACCGTGTGTTGGATATTCCTTCTCTTCTTCCCACCATGTGCGTGTGTGGATACATGTTAGATTATGACTTCGTGACCAGAATCATTATATATACGGATTTTTCATCCAAACCCTGTTCTTGTAGCTTGTAAATTTCCTACATTAATAGTCTATTTGATATCATGTACAGTATCTGTTCCTGCAGTGCCTGGACATGGATCGATAACAATGAATCAACTTCCCTAAGCCCAACAGAACAGCTCTGTATCCCATGCCATGCCCGTCCCATTAAACACAAAACTTCCCGGCTGATATATACAACATCCAACCTTGAATGATCCATGTCTCCCGTCCTCGTCTCCAGCAACATCCCCATATTCTATCTTTTGAGTGCAGCAAGCAATCACGGCAACTTCCGCCCAATCTTATCCTCCACCGCAGCCTTGAGGTCCTCTCCCGTCGGCATTGTGACAACACTGCCGCGTCGGCGTCTCGATTCAATCTCTGCCTTGATTTCCTCCACCGCATCGTCAAACTCCTGGATTGCATCGCTCGGCAGACCCAGGGTGGGCTGTCGCATGTCCTCTGTGCTCGTTGTCCGCGGGATGTACGGCTTGTTGCGCGCTTTGAGTTTACGGATGAGAAGACCCTTTGCGGGACTGCCGAAGAAAGCGAGGGATAGGATATTGCCCACGATGCCGTAGTAGTACACGCTTTGCCAGATGCGGACGGAGGTCCCGAACGAGAGGAAGATGAAGGGTACGACGGCAAAGGACAATGTGGCTTGTGTTACAAACCAGCTGAAAATATCATAGTACTTTTTGTACGCGGTGGGCTTGGAGCCATCGGGTGACAGAAAGAAAGGACGGACGTATCGTCGGAAATCTGCGCCGGTCAGTAGAGAAAGTAAAAGGGGAGAAGGAAGTCACGACATACTCTTCGCAACTGTTTGGATGAAGGATCCCAGAACGAAGGTCATGTAGTACCCGGGGTAGAAACCGTGCCAAAAAGCGCTCGTCGCGAAGGTCGCGAGGCTGGCGCGGAAGCCAGGTTTCTTGCCTTTGGGCGTGACGCGCAGGTAGACATAGTTGCGCAGCCAGTGGTTGGTGTTCTTGTTCCAGCTACCGAGATAAGCGTGGGAGTTCTGGGCGGTTTCCAGACCCCAGGGGTCGATATTCTCTAGACGATTCCAGAATACCTTGCCTGATTTGGGATCAAACCCATTATATCCCATGCCGGACAGGATACAGGCACCTTCGGTCAGAGACCAGACTCCATAGTACTTGGTTCGGGTGACGAAGCCGAGCATATACAAGGTCCACACGCGGCGCAGGAACGAGAGTTCCATGAAGCCTTCGCTCAAAACAGTATCCTGGTTGTAGACCGATCCCAGTTGTAGAAAGACCAGGATCCAGAACAGTCCCATGACGGCCTTCTTGAAGGCAGGCGTTCCACTCCGGGGAATTCTACGCTTCTTCCGGGTGGGAGGAGCTTTGGACGGGTCCGTTCCAGGGGGCACATCGAAAAGGGTTGTGTCGATCCAGCGGCGATAATCGACGTACTCGAATGACGGTCCACCAAAAAGAGACGGAAAGAATAGAATGTACCCGAGGTAGTCCAGAATTCCGGGAAACTCTGTGATCGCGGCGTATTTTTGCGGGTCGGAGAGCTGTGCTTGGGGCAGCCGGCCGTCATGAACGTTCCAGCAGAAGGAGGATAGCTTCATGACGAGCACCATCTGAGCTCCAGTAATGTCAACTACCTGCGGATCATTCAGGATTTGCCGGTAAATGTGACTGATAGACATGTGTCCCATCAGAAAGATGAACCCGATCCATGGCATTAATGATCCGTCGACGTAGTAGGCTATGGCGTAGACACCGGCGGCACTGTAAAAGAGCGTACGAAGACCGTCCCAGAGGTCAAACAGACCAACAAGATAGAAGAGTGAGACTGAAATACTGAATGCATTCTTTTTCCAGGGTTGGGCGTCCGGTAGTCTCTTCAAAATCGCGGCCAAAGGATAGGAGAGGAGGAATGACGCAATAAGCTTGACTAGAAAATATTCCCGAGAACGCGTTAGTGACCCAGCATGAAGGAGAAAAGGGTGAGAATAGCTAGTCGAAAAGAACATACGCTCATCAACCGAAGCTCCAGTAAGTTTTGCTGGATAATCAAACACTGGAGATGGTTAGTTGTCTGATTTTGGAGTTTTGCGGATATTGTATCCTCGAGCGAGCCTACAGTGGTTGATGAAAGCTAGCATGGTGGGCGAAGAGCTCCGAGGGAAACGTAGACAGGAAAACAGACGGCTTTCTGATCAGAAGGGTAGGAAAGACATGGAGACGATGGGCGAGAGGAGGAGAAGAGGAGAGTGTGAACGAGGTGGGAGAAGAAGAAGAAGTACGGAGTATAGAAAAGAAGCATAGAAAGTTGGATGGATGAATGAATGATCATCCCGCACAGAATCACATGGGCGGTCACTTTCCCTTGTCGGTCATCCATCACCCTTCTTCTCCTTCCCGCATCAATCCCGCATTACTGCCCCATCCACCCACCTGTATCACTCCATTTCTCCCCTCATGACCTTGTTCTTCTCCTCTCCTTGCTCGTGATACCTTCTCCTTCTCTCCCCTCCACCATTCGTTCACCATGGATGTCGTCGCCGCGGTGTCCGGGTACATCTCTAAGATGGTCACCACCGGCGATCCGTCGACGACGGGGAGCTCTTCATCATCTAAAATGAAGATTCTGCTTTTGGACAGTGAGACAGTGGGACACGCGCTTCAATTGCCCTGGTTATGATGATCTGACGAGCTAATCGGTCGTCGATAGGTCCCGATTGTATCGACTGCCATCACCCAGTCCGCCTTACTAAACCACGAGGTCTATCTGATAGATCGATTGGATAATGCCGCTAGGGAAAAAATGCGACATCTGCGATGCCTGTGCTTTGTGCGCCCCTCTCCCACCTCCATCCAATTCCTCATCGACGAACTGCGCGAACCCAAGTACGGCGAATACTATATCTACCTGAGCAACATCATCCGCAAATCCTCCCTCGAGCGACTCGCGGAAGCAGACAGTCACGAGGTTGTCCGTGCGGTTCAAGAACACTTCGCCGATTTTCTGGTCGTCAATCCCGACCTATGTTCCCTGAATCTTGGGTTCCCCAATCTGCGACTATGGAGCCACTCTCCGGACTTATGGAATCCGGATGCGCTGCAGCGAGCCACGGACGGGGTTATCGCGATGCTTTTAGCGTTGAAGAAAAACCCATTGATTCGTTACGAGAAGAACAGCTTACTGGCGAAGAAGTTGGCCACCGAAGTTCGCTATCAAGTGACCCAAGAAGAGCAACTGTTCAACTTTCGGAAAACCGACACTCCCCCGATTTTGCTGATCCTGGACCGACGAGACGACCCCATCACTCCGCTTCTCACACAATGGACGTATCAGGCGATGGTCCATGAACTACTGGGTATCAATAATGGAAGGGTGGACCTTCGAGACGTGCCCGAGATCCGACCGGAGCTTCGCGAGATTGTCCTTTCCCAGGACCAAGATCCATTTTTCAAGAAGAACATGTATCAGAACTTTGGTGATCTGGGCCAGAACATCAAGGAATACGTCGAACAATATCAGGTCAAGACTCAAAACACCATGAACATCGAGTCGATCGCAGATATGAAGCGTTTCGTGGAGGACTACCCTGAATTTCGCAAACTCTCCGGTAATGTGAGCAAGCATGTTACCTTGGTGGGTGAGCTCAGCCGACGGGTCGGCGAGCACGATCTCCTGGACGTGAGCGAGCTGGAGCAGAGCCTGGCTTGCAGTGACAACCATGCAAATGACCTCAAGGTATGTCTCGAACAGTAATCGTGGCCCGTGTCTGAGATTCTTGTATTGACCATGACCCGGCAGACTCTGCAAAGAATTATCCAGTTGCCCACCGTACCAGCTGAGAACAAGTTACGATTGGTGGCACTTTATGCTATTCGATACGAAAAGCAGCCGTCTAATGCATTGCCTGTGTTGCTTGACTTGATGGTTACTGCCGGAAATGTCCCCTCATATAAAGTCAACATCATCCCCAAACTCCTCGCCTACCACCACTCTCTTCAAGCTCCTCCCGTCGCCGGGGGCTTCTCTGACTTGTTCGAGTCCACGTCTTTCTTCGGTGGCGCAAAGGACCGTTTCAAAGGACTCAAGGGCGTTGAGAACGTCTATACCCAACACTCGCCTCGACTAGAGGCAACATTACAGAATCTAATCAAGGGCCGCTTAAAGGAGCTGCAGTATCCCTTCCTTGAGAATAGCGGCCATATTCGCGACAAACCTCAGGACATTATAATCTTTATGGTCGGCGGAGCAACGTATGAAGAGGCCAAGATGGTTGCCCAAGTCAATGCCAGCTCTCCTGGCGTTCGGGTGGTGCTGGGTGGCACAGCCATCCACAATAGCACCAGTTTCTTAGAAGAAGTTGACGATGCTGTGAGCGGCTGGCCCGAGCCCGGCCCCTCTAGTGCTGCTGGACGGCTCCGGAGGGAGCTTGCGCGGTAGTAATCCATAGTTGTCGGCGTTGCAAGATGGCTTGTTTGTTCTATTGATTTGTGTCATGGCATTTTACCCGGCTGGAGCCTCTGATTGTATATTCGAGAAGCGAACTTCTTACGAAACAAGTAATGATCTTACGATAAACCACATAGAAGAGTAACTTGTCTGTATACTGTCGACGATGTCTACGTATAGAACGTGCAGAATTGCGGGGTGCCGCCGCCCCGGAAATTTCTCAATGCGGAGGATGTCTCGACCTTCTCCGTCACCGCGCCAAAACACCCAACTCGACCCTCGGATTGTCCTCCATCGCTCGCCATGGAGCTTCAAAACTCACCCCCGAAACCGGGGAGCGCGCTGTCGCCTTCTGCAGCGGTTTCTCGAGAGCCTAAACTCCAGCTTCCTTCCACAACCGATCCGCCAGGACCACAGAACCCACCAAAGCCCCTCGTATGGCTGGTAAGACGCCGAAAGCGCCTACCAACCCCTTCATTTCCCACCAACTGACATGTGCATTCGCTTTCTTCAGATATTTGGGGCCACCGGCCACATGGGTCGCTCCCTTGTGAAGACCGCCTTGTCCCGCGACGACCTCGTCTCCGCCGTCGGGCGCACGTTCGAGAATAGCCCCGAGACGATGAAGAAGCTGGAGGACGAGCACGAGAATTGCTTAGGTCTCCTCTGCGATGTCCGCGCCCGCGAGACCGTCAAGCGCGTCATCGACCGCACCATTGAGCGCTTCGGACGCATCGACATCATCGCGAACTGCGCCGGGTATGGGGTGATCGGGGCCTGCGAGGACCAAGACGAGTACGACATCCGTGACCAATTCGAGACCAACTTCACGGGTACCCTGAACATGATCCAGCTATCGCTGCCGCATTTCCGCGAGCGCCGCTCCGGCCGATACCTCATCTTCAGTTCAACGTCGGGCGCGCTGGGCGTCCCCGGCCTCGGGCCGTACTGCGCGTCCAAATACGCGGTCGAGGGCCTAATGGAGAGTATGCTGTACGAGGTGGACAGCTTCAATATCAAGACCACCCTTGTGGAGCCGGGCCACATGCGCCGCGATGATGTTTCCGATCTGTTCTCCGACACGGCCACCCCAGCGAACCGCGATAATGGGGTTCACAACGAACACAACCTCACGTCCCCGCTGCCGCTCTACGGCCACTTCTTCGTCAAGCCGCCTAGCGAGCCGTACAACACGCCCACCGCGCCGGCGGCTCATGCGAAGCGTATGTTAATGTGGCTGGGCGACAAGCAGCCCGCCAGCGCCGTCAAAGCGGCCCATCTCGTCTGGCAACTCGGCCATTGCTCGTACCCTCCGCTCCGCCTCATCCTCGGCACGTACGCAGTGGAGAGTATTCGAGACCGTCTTAAGTGTATCATTGAGGAGATTGAGGACTGGAAGTACCTCAGCTTCCCCCAGGGCGATCAACCAGGTCCTTCTCCGGCAAAGGACAGATTGAACCACCAAGAGGAAGATAAGCAAGCGACATGACCTGGATCGATCACCATATAACGACCGACATTAATTACTGCTTCACGGATAGAGATATATGTGACTTACGATACCCCCTTGGTGTTCTATACCCCCTGATCACTGTCAGCGCGCTGCTCCGCCCGCACACCTCATCTGCTCCCTGGATTGCGGTCCTCTTGGGGTGTTGGTTCGCAAAGAACCGCATGCTCGGATGGAGACGGCTTGTCGAGGGCTATGTTGCTGACACGCGCCAGAGGAGACGGCCGTCTGACGCGTCTCCATTCGCTCGGATAGACCTTGTCTATCGACAAAGACGACACCAAAACCCCTACAGTCAGTTGGTTGAGGATAGCATTTATTAATAGTGGCTGTGTCTGAGGTGTATGTACAAAGTCCCGGCACTCGGGCAATGACATGAACATCTAGATATCTATATAGCAACACAAAGAATAACTTCGGCTCGACCACCCATATACACATCGAAACTAGGTCTCACCCTCGTAGTTAATACACGAGCAGGACGGACTTCGTTTCTCCCGCCGATGACATCAAACTCATAAACCATGCCATTTCATAATTTCTGCTGTTTGCCAAGCAGCCAGTGAATGCAAGCCCTTGTCGACTCTTCACTTTTATACTGCCGCTTCTCTCTCTCTCTCTCTCTCTTTTTGCAGGGCCGCTAATCATGAGCATTCAAAACACAGGGTTCTTTGGCATGCCATACCCGCCTCTTCTTCGCCATGTCTGCACCGAAAGTGTCATGGATAGGCACACCATCATCATCCTTATGTGCCACTGCACGTTCCGATTCTGGCGAGGCTCTTAAGATGCGGACCTCCTCAACGGTGGCTCCGATTTCGTACGCTCCGCGACAGAGGATAGTCACACCGACAGTGGCAGTTGTGCTCTCCTCGCTCTGGATGATAGGTAGCACTTGCTGCAACATGCCAGTCCACGCAAGGCGTCTTGACAGATCGAGGGCCACATTGCTGGGTTGGTGACATAAACTCGGCTGTAGTCGGAGCAGGGGGTGGATGGGTTTCGAGGAACGATTGCGGATGGTGACCGTCAGATTCAGCATATCGTCACAGCGCACCTTATATCGTGACCGTCCAACCTGTACCACGGCATCGGTAGGGTTGTTGTCACTATCGGCGGCAAGCTCATCCGCGAATGGAGCATCTAAGGAGAAATCGATGTCGACATCATCCAGTCGGAACGCATCTACCATGCGGGAGTTCAGTCGCAGGTTTCTAAGGTCGATCGTGCCCTCACGTCCCACAGGACTTTCCTTCCAGGTTCCGGAGATTCTCTTGAGGAGTTCTTCCCGATACCAAAAGGCCTCTCGCGATGCGGCTTCGCCTTCAAATGTGAGCTTATTGGCACTGACAACGAACTGTCGCTTAACGCCCGTATTGAGGATCGGGATGGAAGCGTGGGGATTGTCTATATAGACACGAGGAAGCACGAGCACAAAGCGCGACATCTGACCAGGTTGGAGCTCTTCAGATACTGTGTACTGCCCATCTTTGGTCATTGCTTCTGTCGACTGCCCTGACGAGGGCTCTATTGGTTGCTCGCTAACATGGAGGGAGACGTATAAGGCATTCGGCCAGGCATTACGAAGATCAAGCAACACAATGCAATGATCGGATCCGTATGCGCCCCGCCCAAGGTGCGAAAGGACAGGTGAAAATGGATCACTGCCAATGCGTGGTGAAAGAGCTGACTGAGTCTGAGCAGACTTTGACGGTGGAGCGACATCCTGTCGGTTCCACCAGGCAAAATCACTGCTGAATGGGAGAATGTCACAACGTGCAACTTCAATACTGGCATTAACAGTCACAGTCAGCGGAATGAATAATTGTCGGGTATAAAAAACATCCGGCAATTCGCCATGGGATAGATCAACGCATGAGTAATCTATCTGCACGGTCGTATCCTGCAGGCCCGGCTTGCCAAATATGTCAATCGTGAATGTTGCACTTCCTCCGGCAGGTATTGAATGATCACCCGGGTTTGCGCCTTGCCGGCGCCACCGCAAAGCTGGTTTCATCAAGCTCAATTCCAGTTCGTAGATCTCTGCTGGCAGCAGATCTTTGTTGCTCAGGGCGGACTGTATTTGTCTATTCGTAGAATCTTGGAATGTGAACAAGATGAAGTCCAAGGGGCATGTTGATGTGTTGCGAAGGGTAATGTTGAAGGACCCATGTTCACCTTCCAGCACCATTGCTGCTGATTGTGCAAGTGACATAGATTCGATGATCAAGGACGGTTGTTTCCCGATCACTTTGACCTCGCAAGAAGAGGTCTCGGGGCCCTTCTTTGGAACTACCTTTCCATCCTTCGACGTTGTCGAGCTCCATGAGAGAGGACGTTCTGTCGACGGGCTCTTTGCTGCCAGACCCGTGCGCTTAAACTTGCTTTCCACTTCTGGTTTCCACGGCTCTCTGAAAATGGGGAACCTTCGTTCTCTGCAGTGACGAACTTTGATAACGCACCCGGTAATGTTCACTGTGCCTGCCTCTTGAGCGATTCCAAAGATCGTGATATCCTGCAAACAGAATGGCGGAAGAATGATCCACTCAACCACGGCATCGAAAGGGATACCCTCACTATCAAGACGAATCCTTTCGATCTCCAACTCGAACTCATATGGATTCTGTAAAGTGACTTTGAACGCCGCATGTTCGCCAGCAACCATGAGGAGCTCCGAGGCCTTGCTACTCGTCTTCGAGAAAGGATTATAGAGGAATGGATCTTTGGTGGCCTTTTCACGCGATTTGGTAACGGCGTCGAATTCAGGCTTGGATCGGCGAACCGGTCGGCTGTTATCAGCGAGAGGCAACAACGCGACATCGCGGACTAAAAAGTCGTCCCAGTACTCAGCCTCCAAGTTGGCTGCTCCCAGTTTGCTGGCGGCGCCAACCGTTCTCTTGATGTTGTTTAGAAGACGAACCTGCTCATCTGGGGGCAGGTATGGTGGGGTATGATTCAACTCGGTGAGCGTGAGGTCCCCTCTGATAGTCTGTAGCAACTCGACCGTGAAACGAAGGACACCGCCAAAGTCAGGAAGTGCCTCACATGCATTGATGCACGCTTTAAGTACGTCAATCTTGAGATTCAAGTCGCCGTATCCATCGAGGACGACATGTCGAAAGGATCGCTCAACGATGGCAGTTACTGAATCGTACTCAGGAAAAGGCTCTTCGCCATCCAAAGTCAAAGATCTCCTCTTCGTCCACTCGTAGTAGGATGAGGGCTGTACTCCATATATCTCCCCAATTGTCGCAAGAAGTGTGCGCATGCTCTCCTCCATATTCCCCGGACCAACGTCAAGAGCATTTATGTCAAATGCTGTATCGCTCAGGGATGCTAGACCAGCCGCAGGATGTATTCCGACTTCTGCAGCCCCGATTTTGCGAGCTTGTACCAGAGTGGGAACCATCGTGGATAATAATTCCCTCAAGATGAATGCTTTCTTCCGCGGTAGATCCAGAGTATTCAAAACAGACACGATGCCTACAATGATAGGTATGGTGTCTGTGGGGGGCAAGTCTGCGCTGAAGGACAGCGGTAATGCGCGAAAGAGGAAATTGGCAATTTCTGACTTCTTCAAGATGACCAATCCACGAGGGCGCTCTGGCCGATGCAGCGGCACGAGAGGTTCATTGGTGACAATATGTTTCAGTGCATTGTCATCTAGGGCACCGTCACGAACCCGTGCTGCTGCCAATAATCTGGCAAGGCGGATGACTGTTTCCGAAAAGACAAGTTGAGGAAGAGGTTCATCAGTGATGTTCGCAGCACGGTTGTAGAGATTCAGAATATTGTTTGCAAGGTCGGGTAATAAATTGGACAAGTTCTGAAGAGATATCACACGGTTCCCTGGTGCAGATTGACCCGAGCTCGAGTCGACGGTCTGTGATAATTTCGATGACTTGTCGGCAACGGGATAGCAAATGGGAGGAATCTGCCGCGCAAAGTTAACAGGCTGGAGCTTTCAAGTTAAGGAGGTATCAGCCACGCACCTGAAAATCCATGCCCGCCCAGCTGAACATCAGCAGACATAGTAAAATCGACTCAAGGGCTTTGGCATGCCACACATAATCACTACAAGCTCTAGCGTTTGACGCCGCCTCTACCAGCTCTTTGAGAGCGTCGGGCCATCTCCCAGCCTGCAGGAAAAGGGTTCCAACTACTACTCCGGTTCGGCCCTTGATGCGATTCTTGGTACGGTCAGTCGCACTCATGCTGCTCACAGACATGCGATCTCGACTATGCTCTTTTGACGACGGCAGTGAGGTGAGCTTCCCCGTTGAATTGGTGCGGTTAGCTAGCTGGATTGATCGTGTGATTTCGTCGAATGTGGTCGGCGTCTCATGATCGCTGGGTGCGGGTGAGGTTGGTTTCGAACTGACAGGAGAGGCCGGAGCACTATTTGCGTCCGATGGCAAGTGTACAGGCATCGTCATTCGATGCATGAGCCGATCTGTGGGACGGGGGCGTAAATCTGGGCCACGGTGCGGCCCCCAGGAAGACGCTTTCGGTGATTCAATCGTGGGTATACTTTGAATAATCTTCGCAAATCCGTCCAACTCGGACAGGAGTAGAGATGTAATATCGCAGAGGACCGTCTTCATTGTCGTTGCCTTGGAAGCCTGGGGTCGCGGGACCCATAATACATCATCAGGACCGTTGGACAGTTTCTCCACGCCCTTGTAGTCGAACACTAAAAGCTGATGTACCAGGGCCCTGGTGTTTCTTTCCTTCACGACTTCAAGCTCCTGTCGAAGCTCATCTAGTCCGGCAGGCGCAGGAGGGCATGCAGGCGAAGATCCATGCTCTACGCCGTGGTCGTTATCGGTTTCGCCGAGCTCCGTCCCGTCTGCTATGGCGATGATCACAAGTGGTTCTCGGAAGATCTCAAACGGAAACAATTCGAGGTGCGACGTTGGGGGCACAGAGAAGGACAGATCGTAAAGAATCAAGCCCGTAGGAAATGCTAATGGGGAGAACATATCTATCAAAAAAAAAAATATCAGTCAGTGACTGCGACAGGGTGCCCAAGCTATACAGCTAGCTCATCGTATGAGGAATAGGGGCATGAAGTCGCGTACTTCTATTTGGTCGCGAGTCGGGACTAATGTCCCCCAGACGGACCACATTTTCGGCCTGAAGTCTTGCTGCGAAGCTGAGGAATCTTGACCGTCTGATTTTGCCGATGGGGAGGAGCAGCGCACGAATGCGCACCGGCGCTATGGGAGAAAGAGGATCAACCCCCATCATATCATCTGCAAGGATGCGGAGGGGAGGCAGTCGGCGAAACGCTCACTGCGCCCAAGTAGAGCTCCTGATAGTCATGCGGAGGTTGGGCGGTCGCGATAAGAGGGTCCAATTCAATTGAAGTGAATAGACGAACAAGCTAAGTACGGGAAAGAAAAGAACCCAAATGAACCTCGCTCACTCGAGAGCCGAGTCAACAACAACCACGAACCCCGGAGAATCAACAACCGAGCATCTAAATGGCGCTCTGGGTCCCTCTCGACCGCCGTGGTTCACGGGGGCTTACATAACCTCCGAGTGACCGATAACGTTTTCCACAATCGAGCCGCGCCTACAACCGAGCCGCGCCCTTTCCACCAAAACTCCTACTTCCTAAATTCAACGCGTCTTTTCTCATCACCACAATTTAATATGCATCTTTCTAAAGAATCGCGCATTCAGATGGCTATTTCAGCTTATCAGAAAGGCTAGGTTAAATCAATTAAACGCGCTGTGGCCCTTTTTGCTGTCCCCGAAAGCACTGTACGCGACCGGCTTTATAGTGCTAAATCACGGTCGGAAACACGCGCCAATAGTTATAAACTGACCGAATTCGAAGAGGAATTGCTTTTAAAGCGATTATTAGATGCAGATACGCGAGGATTTCTAATTCGACCCGAATTTCTACGTGGAATAGCCTAGGTTTTACTTCGCAGTCGTTTACAAGACCCTACCGCAGCTATCGGAACTAACTGGCCTTATAACTTCGTTAAACGCCATCCTCAGCTCCGTATGCAATATATAAGGCGTATTACCTATCAGCGCGTAAAGTAGGAAGATCCAAAGGTTATAGGCCCGTGGTTTGAGACCGTACGAGCGACTATTTAAGAACACAGCATATATAAAGACGATATCTGGAATTTCGACGAAACTGGCTTTGTAATGGAAGTCTGCTCTACTTTAAAAGTAATTACTGTAGTAGAGCGAAGCGAGTGACCGCGCAAAGTTATTTAGGGCAATCGTGAATGGGTTATAATTATCGAAATAATCGGGTTAAGAGGCGTATATCTACCGCTAGTTATTATATTGAAGGCAAGCGTTCAACAGGCTGCCTGGTTCTAAGAACCTAAGCTACCTCGCGACTGGTGGATTTCTACTAGTTAGAATGGCTGGACGACTGATGAAATAGGCCTTCTCTAGCTGAAAAATGTCTTTGAACTGCTTTCTAAGCGCTATATGACTGGTGCAAAGTGCTTGCTTATTCTTGACGGCCATAGTAGTTATTTGACTGCTGAATTCGATGACTTCTGCAAGTAGAATGTAATAATATGTCTCTGCATGCCTGCCTGTACTTTATATCTTCTTTAACCGCTTGATGTGGGCGTTTTTGGCCCGCTTAAAGAGGTGTACGGAAAACTCCTTGAAGACCTTATGGCTGCTGGCAATAACTATATTGATAAAGAAGACTTTCTATCGCTATATCCGGATGTTTACAAGCAAGTCTTTACTTCGGCTAATATCTGCAGCGGCTTTAGAGGAGCAGGGCTTAAGCCGCTTGATCTAGAGCATGTTCTTTCTAAGCTTATCTTTTAACTGCGTACGCCTACACTACCACTAGTTGAAGGTTTAGTTTTCTCTGCTTTTTAGACTCCGCAGAATACTCGCTAGCTAGATCGAAAGGTCCGAAGCCTACAGAATAGTCTTAATAGAAAGCGGCAGCTTTCTAGTAGTCCTATTGCGTATATTCAACATCTTGAGAAAGCAGCGCAAATAGCAATGCAAACCCAGCTGCTTTTAGAGCAAGAAATTAGGGCCATACGCGCTGAAAATGGACGACAACATCAGAAAAAGGCAAGAAAGCGTGCTAAAATAGGAAATGACCGCCTTCTTAATATACAGGAAGGTGAAAATCGTGTTTAGCAGCTTGGTACGCAGCTTAATGAGCAGCCTGCGGAATCTACTTTAGCGCCCCGTCGACGAGCTCCGCAGCGCTGTAGTGGGTGTGGAACAATCGGACATACAATTCGAAATTGCCCTAGTAGATAGCTATAATTTCATATATTTAGTTAGTTAGATTTAATGGCGTTGGTGGTTGAAAAGCCTTAGGAAGTAGGAGTTTTGGTGGAAAGGGCGCGGCTCGGTTGTAGGCGCGGCTCGATTGTGGAAAACGTTAAGCGCGATAGATAACTTTAAACTCCGCGCCTCCGACCTGTCATCATTATCGCACTTCATCATTCTTTGTCGGTTTCGAGTCATCACATTGCTCTCATGGATACCTCTCTCGCTTTCGATATCTAGGTGGTTCTCACTCTTGGGGACATGGTTTTGTTATGTTTCTGGCCAAGTGTGATCTACTTATCTAGTTACAACTTCCGCATTCCTACTTAGGCGTCCGTCAACATCATTGATGAAGGATAGATCGTTACGTCAAAAGTTCGCCGAATCTTGCATAATCAGCTGGAGCTGATTTAGCGGAACAAGACTTTTGTTAAAGAACGTCAAAGTCTGCATTATGGCGCAAAACATCGATTTTACAGCGCTGCGGGCGCGTACGATGGGCTCTGGCAACGATGAGGAGGCTGTCACGGTTGATACAAGAGGTCTCATCTCCAAGGTCCTAGCGCGTTACTCGGGAAAATGGTATCGTACATATGGATACTGGCCCTCCGGAATGGTTGTTACTAAAACACATATAGGACCGTCTTGCGAGAAATGATTCAGAACGCTGCTGACGCTAACGCAACGAAAGTGACCATCAAATTTGAGACCTTGCCTTCGACGGCCGTTCCCTTGCCTTCATCTGCAGATGCCACGACATTGATCAAGCATACGATCTCGCACCACACGCTCAAGCGCCTTCTCATATCAAACAATGGTCTCCCCTTCAGTGAAAAGGACTGGTCCAGATTAAAACGGATCGCAGATGGCAATCCAGACGAAACCAAGATTGGTGCTTTTGGCGTTGGTTTTTACAGTGTCTTTGATGACTGCGAAGAGCCATTCGTATCTTCGGGCAAGGATGCCATGGCCTTCTATTGGAAAGGAAATGCGCTCTTTACTCGTCGGTTACAGTTGAACGAAGCCGCAAATCCTGAGACCACATTTGTTTTAGATTATCGGAATGATTCTTCGCCTGTGCCCTCCCTGATGGAACTATGCAAGTTCTTGTCCAGCAGTCTTACATTTGTTGGCCTCGAGTGTATAGAACTCTGGCTCGACGATTGGAATGTCCTTCGACTGAAGAAAAAGGCAGCCCCAAGCGTCAATCTCACAATTCCGAGAGACATTGAAACTCGAACACCTCAAGGTTTGATGAAAGTATCTACCGTTTCACGTGAGGTTGCCCAGGTTGATGCTGCCTGGATGCCAGTTGTGGAATGGAATCCCAATGCAAGTATACTTCGTGAGGGGTTGAGAGACACTGCAGGCTCCTTGCGTACGTTCTTCTCCAGGCTTACAGGTCAGAATGCGCCGGAAAAGCCTGCCAAAGTCGAGAAGCCAACGGTCAATGGTGACACCGAGGATTTAACGCAGCTTTCAACTGCTTCCGTCTTCTTACATATAAGCACTGCCAACATTCAATGTTCTGTGAGCCACTCTCTCAGCAGTGAACTCGAACGTGCTACGCGAAAACCGCCACCTAAAAAGTCTACGATAGCCATATTGACACCCTCGTATGATACGACGCTGGCATCTGGGATGTCAGGGTCGCACTCGGAAATACTCTCCTCTATTCTCCCCTCGAAAGCTGGGAGGATCTTCATTGGGTTTCCCACACATCAGACAACGGGCCTGAATGCGCATATATCGGCGCCCTCCGTAATCCCAACGGTGGAACGAGAGAGCATTGATCTCAATACTCGCTATATCAGCAAATGGAACTTTGAGATGCTAAGGGCTGCGGGTATCGTCTGCCGCATCGCTTGGACGGCAGAGATGGCATCGGTGAAGTCCAAGTTAGCTCCAAAGGGGTCAAAAATTCGCAAGAACGACATAGTTGATGTTCTGCCTGAAGCAATCCACACGGCAAACCAATTTGTTTTTCGCGAATCGACCCCATCATCGCTTCTGGGGCAGACTATTGAAGACGCATTCTGGACCTGTAATACCAACGCGTCTATCGAGGTGTTGTCAACATGTGGTGTTATTCAGAGCCACCAGGCTCGTATTGCCCCGAAGGATCTCAGCTTTATGGACTCCATTCCTGTTCTGCCCGACGAATTTGTTACAGGCGCGAAGGAATTCGTCAGAAAGCTGACAGATTTTGGACTTGTCACTGATGTTACCGTCTCCGATATCAAGAGAGAATTAGAGGCATCTACCTTGCGCCCTGCCCAAGTTGTGGAATTTCTCTCCTGGCTGGGCCGAAGAGCAGTTTCTGGACAACTTGACCAGATGTCAGTCCAGAACCTGCTCAATGTTGCGGTGGCAAACGACGAAGATGATAACGGTAACACTACTCGATTAATTGTTTTCGGAGACATAAACGCATTCCTCAATCCCCAGAAGATCCCTGTGACCTTGCCCTTGTCGCCGAACGTCATGCCATTCAGGTACACAAAGACCTTAGGCAAACAAGAAGTTGAAGCACTGGGTTGGGTGGAGCTGCAGATAGTTCCTTGGCTTCGCTGGCTTGTCTCCAACGCTGGAAATCGTAATGCCTTATCTGTGGAGCAAGATCTGACAAGAACATCCTCGTTTGCCGCTCAAGTCCTGCCTGTCCTTTCCAAACAGTGGGACGCACTAAGTCCATCAGCGAAGCAGGCAGTGATTGATCTCTTACAGCCCAATACAGTCATTCCAACTAAACTCGGCATGAAGCGTCCTGGTGAAACCTACTTCTCGTCTGTTCGGTTATTTGATGACCTTCCCGTTGTCCATGGTCTCAACAGTGTTAAAGAGAAGTTTTTGGCGGCTCTCGGTGTGCGCAAAACAGTCGAGCTAGGGGTCATTTTTGACCGGCTTCTCAACACAGCGGATACGTCTGATGAAACCAATGGTGGATCGAAGAAATGGAGTCACGTCGATCTCATACGCTATCTGGCATCTGTCAGCGAAGACATCCCCTCAGCTGACATCAAGAGACTCAAGGACACTAGTATATGCACTGCCGAAGCGAGAGGTGACCATGGAGACTCAAAAACGACCAAGCGCAAACGCTACAAAATATTCGAGCTGTTCGAGCCGAAGGACTCTCTTAGGGTTCTTGGACTTCCTATCATTGAATGGCCCGGGATGTACCAGCCCAACAGTAAGGAGGGTAAATTCCTCACTATGCTAGGCTTGCGGAGTTTTCCGTCGGCTCCGGAGTTGATCAAGATTATGGCACAAGCTGGCAAGGAACATAACTCGACTCTTTACAGAAAAGCTATGTCGTACTACATTGCGGAGTATCACAACAATGGTTATTCTGCATTCGCGTGCGATGCGGTCACTACACCGTTCCTACCCCTCGAAGGCTCAGATAAGTTGAGCATTCCGAGCAAGTGTTTCACCGAAGAAGGGGCTGGGCTATTCGGTTTCGAGATCCTCAGACGGGATCTTCATGCTCATGCGTCTAAATTTGGCGTCAAGCAACACCCAATGATGGCACATTGTCTCAATCATTTGATCCGCCAGCCTCCGACCTCCACACGCGATGCCAAAGTTCTCTTCAAGTATTTAGCGGGAAGAGTTGCAGAGCTTCGGCCTCAGGATAAAGAACAGGTGAGCAAGGCAGCCATTGTGCCCATATCGACGAATAAGGGCTCGGGCGTGCGTCACGTACCTCCCAAACTGTGCTACCTTGGCGATGGAGAAGATTACAAAGACATATTTGACTTCGTTGACTTTGGTCAAGAAGCAAATCTCTTTCTCGTGGCAGTCGGTTCCAAACCCGAACCTACAAAGACCGAGCTTGCCTACATGCTAGTGAAAGAACCAGCAAGAATTTCTGCAACATTCCAAAGCGCTGAGAAGTATCTCAAATTGCTTAGGACTCTGGCCGAACACCTCCCGGTCCTCAGGAGGGATCGCGCTCTATACGAGGAAATGAAAAAGTCTGCTTTCTTGATGGCCAGCAGAGATATTGCTTCTCTAAATCAGAAAGAACACAAGGAAGAGAATCTTCTGGACTCCGACGATGAAGAGGAACATAATATCAAGGAATGGACTTTGACTTCAGCAAGAGACGTGGTCGTGGTGGATGATTTCCAGAGCTTCAGTCTCTTTAGGGAGCATATACTCGCTGCGCCGCAAGAAGAGGCCCTGGAAGACTTCTACATTGCTTTAGGCGCCGTCCCGTTGAGTAGCCTAGTTGAGGAGCGCGCCCATTGGGGTGCAGTCGCTTCTGACCAGAACTCCGCGATCAAACTGCACAAGCTCATCAACGAACGATCGAAACTTTTCCTTCACGATCAGTCTCCGGATTCTGTCAGACATGACGCTCGTTGGCTGGAGAAACACCTCCAGGTGCAAGTGGTGCATTCGATTTCCCTAACACGATCCCTGAGAGGCCGCCGTGTATCTCAAACCCAGAAGAGAAGTGCGATTATCACACAGCAAACAAGGGGCTGGATGTTATGGATTTGCCCTGGCAAATACAATTTGTACGAGATAAGTCAGGCTCTCGTGCATCTTGTTCTTGTTCGGCCCAAACTCCACTCGACCCTCACGCTAGAGATGTTGTTGAAGACCGATCTATTGGAACTCAAAGCCCGGGGATACAACGTGGAACGGATCCTCAAGCAAAAGGCGCATGAAGCGAGGATGGCCGAGGATAGACGCCAAAAGCAATTGGAGGAAGAGCGGCAACGGCTTCAAGAAAGAGAAGCTGCATGGGCACGGGAACGAGAGGTTCAGGCTCAGGCTCAAGCCCAGGCCCAGGCCCAGGCACAAACACAGGACCGAATTCAATTGGTCGAAGACCGACAGCAGACATTGATGCCAGGCGACTTTCCCGACTCTCCTTCCAGCAAAGATCGTAGCTCCATCCAGCCACCCGCCGAGCCAGAACAGGGCGAAGACCGACGTTCACGGGGCTTTTTCCAGAACTTGACAAGGCGCTTTGGACTTGAGGGAAATCGGTCCAGTTGGAATCCTATCAATGGAGAGTCATCGCAAGATGCTACTACTTCAACCACCTCGACTCCTCCACCTCCTTATTCGGTTGAGGATCCGAAAAAAACCCGTCCGGAGGCGCCAGTGAACGTCACGCCCCCGCATAAGCTACAGAGAGAGCTATTGTCCGCTGTACAAGCCTGTCGACCTCATGGATCTTCTGATGTCTACAGTCGTCCGGAAACCACTCAGGTCAACGAGTCAAAATCTTATTGTGACGAGAAACCCAGTCATGACTTGGAATTTGTGGCAACTCTGGCATGCGGCATCAACGTTCTCTTTGTGAGGACCGTCTCCGACCGGTTCGGGTTTCTGGCTCAGCATAGTTCAGGCATCAATGTATTCGCGTCCATGCTGATTGAGTGCGCTGGCGTGTTTTCTCTGCGTCCGGATAGCCTCAGTATTTTCTACGACCCAGGTGGGAAAACCATCGCCTTCAACCGGGCCGGAAGCCTTTTCTGCAATTACTTTTACTTTCAAACGCTTCATGAAAAGAGCGTACTCCAGAGCTCCAACGCTGACCGAAGTGAAGCTTTGATATACTGGTGGGTTATTCTTTGTCACGAATTAGCGCATAACTTGGTGGGAGACCATAGCTCTGCTCACAGTTACTACACGTATGTATCCTCCAGGAACCCTCATTCAATCAAGACGGAGTGCTAATTTTGCGGCAGTGAGAGCTTCGTTGCGCAGTACTTCCCCAAGATCATGGCCAAACTTGCGACGGCCGGTGAACAATCCCTGGTTCAACCAAGTGCTTAATACTGGCCCTTCTTTGATTTTCGGTTCTCAGAAGCATGTATATAGTCTGCCATTTCCGGAATAGACAGATGCTAATGTATGCTGAATATGGTAATTAAATATACGGTGAAGTCCGGTCTTTGTATAGATCGTCCTGAATTTTTGTATACTTCTATTTAAACTGAGACGAAAGATGAATAAATGGCCAGAAAGAGAAGTCTGACAAAGATAAACGGCGAAAAGGTTATCGAGGGCGTTCCAGGGTACCACCGCGCAGCGTTCCGTTGATTGCCGCTCCGCTCTCCGACTATCTTTTTTCGCCGGTCAGCGGCAAACTCATTTTGACTCAGGAGATCAATTCCTCTCAAACTTTTGTATTGTGGGCACTTCACAACCTCTTCGTCGCTGAGGATAACATCGGTACTCTTCTCCTCCCAATATGGCGTCGTTTTGAGCGGTTCTAAGCCCATATTGAATCCGATATACGCCTAGCCATTTTTCAACGTCTCGCCACTCCCCTCTAAGTGGACTATGAATTTGACATAGTATCCCGCCTTTCAAGTGGAGAACGCCCGCCTGTTTGATAGGCCTTTATAGGCCTTGAAGCCTCGATCATTATCATCTTTTCCAGCTTCTCGCATTTTCCTCTTGATACAATCGAACCCACTTCATGGCGCCTTTACTGGGGCCTTGGGGCAAATATGAGGCTGTAAATGAATCCAACAGCCTCAGAACCCACCGGAAAAACATTCTATATGTCGACGCATATGACTCGTTTTCTTACAACGTCGTTGCGATGCTCGAGGAGGTCCTTGACGTAAAAGTCACCGTCATGATGATCGACTCCGAATGGCCAGACGGCAACATGGTCCAGTTTCTACAGCACTACGAAGCTGTCGTTCTGGGTCCGGGACCAGGGGACCCAAATATTTCCCAGGATATCGGCATCATGAAGGATATTTGGGACCTAGGCGATGCGGATTTACTCCCGGTTTTTGGTATCTGCTTGGGCTTCCAGACGTTATGCCTTCGCCAGGGTATCAGTATCGGGCGGTTGCCGTATCCCCTTCATGGGCAAGTTCACCGGATCTCCACGACTCAGAAAGATATATTCGAGAACATCCCAGATGTCGAAGTCACTCTCTACCATTCCCTGTACGCCAAACTGGATGAGCCAGCGAGTGGCATCTCGGGAAAGAGTCTAAACGGCGAGCTTCATGACAAGTTTGATCTTGATATCTTGGCCTGGCTTTCCTTAGGCCAAGGAGATCAATTCCAAAGATGGGAGATTCCCATGGCGGTCCGTCACACACGAAAGCCGTTCTGGGGTGTTCAGTTCCACCCGGAGTCATGCAAATCAAACCGGGAGGCATGCACCGAGATTCTGAGAAGATGGTGGGAGCTGTCCCTCGTATACAACAAGATAAATGGCCGCGGCGGGTATGGTTGCCTACCCGACGATATCATACATCAATCGAGTGGCATGGCCTCGCTTCCTGGTATTGCATACACGATGTTGAACTGGAGCTCGTCGACATCGAATAAATCTGCCTTCCGGACGATCCCAGTACATAAATTGAGTGCAGAAGATATCTGTGAGAAGCTCAATGTTCCGGGGTCGCCAACCGTGTTGTTTCAGTCAAATGGAAGATACAGCGTCATCTCTGCGCCGAGTCCCAGTGCCTGGAGGTTGGAGTATTACACGCAGTCTGAGAAGCTTCTTTTGGAAAAGCTTTCGACTCAGATGAACGCCAAATCAACCCAGGATGCAGTTGCTGGAAAGCACTTATCAGTATCTGAGCTCTGGGATGTCTTGAGATATGTGATGGATATGAAACATGTCGTGACGGGAGATTCTACGACACCTTTTTGGGGAGGCTTCTTGGGTTATTTCTCCTATGAATTGGGGCTGGCATGCTTGAACCGACCGAAAACGCACAACGATAGTTACCACCATCCCTCGGGGAATCACGCTTCTATGGAGAATCCGGCAGATGTGAGTCTGTTGTGGACGGAAAGAAGCGTCGTCCTTGATAATGAGACCGGGAACATCACGATACAATCCACGAGGAAAGATGATGACTTGCCGGGCGGTTGGCTTGACGAAACCCATCGGTCATTGGTCTCGTCCCATCAATCTGCGGACGAGATGCACGTCAGTGCAGATTCAGAGTTTTTGGATCCGATCCTTAAACGCGGCGTGATCCAGTTTCCTGATGAGGAAACCTACCTAGAACAAGTCAAGGCTTGTCAGACGGAACTCAAAGCTGGGGAGTCATACGAACTCTGCCTCACCTGTGAGACTTCCATCACACTTCCCTCTTCAGGTTCTCCAGACAGCCGGCTCTACTTCCCTTGGGAGTTGTACAAACGTCTGCGTCAGTACAATCCGGCGGCCTTCAGTGCCTATGCAAAGCTTGGTAATATGAAGGTCGTCAGCAGCAGCCCTGAATGCTTCCTCAACTGGGACCGCTCCTCCACGCTAGAAATGAAGCCGATGAAGGGCACTGTCCGAAAGTCCGATACCATGACGCTGGAGAAGGCGAAGGAAATTCTCGGGACGACAAAAGAGATGGCTGAAAATCTGATGATCGCAGATTTGATCAGACATGATCTATACGGTATATGTGGCTCCGGCGGCGTTCATGTGGAAAAGCTACTAGAGGTCGAAGATCATGGGCGGGTCTATCAGATGATCACCCATGTGAAAGGGAACATTGACCGCAGTCGACCTGGCTTCGCGGTGCGAGGCATGCCACAACTTCATCAGTCATCGAATATGTCTGTATACGGACTTACGGCTCTCCAACGATGTCTTCCACCGGGTTCGATGACTGGCGCGCCCAAGGAGCGGTCATGCATGCACCTAAGCACCATTGAGGCTCGCAATCGGGGAGTTTACTCTGGCGTCATGGGATTTCTCGATCTTGGAGGTGGCGGAAGCTTTTCGGTACTCATCCGGACTGCCTTCTCCAGCTCCGATGACCAAAGCACTGAGGAACAGAAGTGGCGGATCGGTGCTGGAGGAGCTGTGACCATTCTGAGCACCGCCGAGGGCGAATGGGACGAGATGTTGACCAAGCTGAAAACAGTGTGTGGTATATTTTCGCCATTGAACACCTAGTGACCTAAGAGTGTCTAAAGATCTGCTCTTTATGCATTTCGGAGCAACGCTTTTCAACAGTTGCATGGTTTGGAGTTAGCTAGAGGTCGATTCAACACTGAGCGTTTGGAATTAAGCGGCTTGGGTTCTGTTGGCATTTTGGATTCTATCGAGCATTGAATATATTCTGCAGAGCTATGCGTGTCAAATAGTTATCGCTGTCAGAACGACACTGATAGATCATAGAAATGATGTCGTCCAGTTGGTCTCGATGCAAACATGTCAAACAGCGCTCTATTATCCGCGGAGAGCAACAGAGCTCCGGCATGGCATCACCATCTACATTCATTATACCGCCGCATGTTAAAGCGAATGCTCAGTGCCTCTGTCTGATATTATCCCGCTGCATATATCCGGTCCTACTTTGAAGAAATCTTCTTCCATGGCAGGCACCCAGGATGCACCGTTGGAGGAGATTCTATGGCGGTCGCCGTCCCACGTCCAGATGATGGGAGGCTTCCTCCACTCGAATAACAGTAAGACACCCTAACTTACGGCTCTTATCATTCTTGTCTCACATGTATTCTCTCAAATAGTCCTGTTCTACTTCGCCGAATCTCCCTTCTTCGATGCGACCTCGAATAATGCCTCGCTCGCGATTCAAGCGAACTACAACGAGACCTTCCGCCATTTCGTGGAAACTCGGGAAGCTTTCGAAGGACGGTTGAAAACAATGCAAGGCCTGGAGTTTGTGGTTTCATATGATCCCCTTCAAGCTGCCGCGCAGTCGAACGGCCAGTTCGCGCATGAGCCGTCCAACATCTGGGTAATCCACAAGCAGACACGGCGGAAGAGGCCCGGCCTCGAAGACGAGGTGGAAGTTCTGTCCACATTCTTCGTCGTGGGGGACTGTATCTACATGGCTCCGTCTGTGGCGAGCGTTGTGGGCAACCGCATTGTATGTTCTAGTCGGATCTCTGGGCTGGATATTGCCCCGTACAGATTGGCTAACGGATTTCTGACTTTCTGGATAGCTTTCGGCCGTCACCTCCCTCACAAACCTCATGAAGACGGCAGCGTCACTGCCCAATTTCACCCCTGCACATGGACACACCTACATGCCGCCCGTCTCCAAGTCCACAGACACCGCTCAACCCAGCGCGCAACCGAGCAAGGAGAACACGCCTATGCCTGACGCCGACTCGACTAAGGCATCTCTCGTCGGGGGTGCCCAGTCCACCAATGCAGGTTCCGTATTTCAGCATACAAGGACACTCGCGGAATCGTTCAGTTTGCTTACGCAGTACGGTGATGAGTTCATGGACGAAAACCCGCTGGTCGGAGAACCAGGTTCATTCATTATGTCTCGAAACAATGAAGGGGCGGCGTCTAAGCAACCGCCAGTGGGCACAACCCGCCCTGGGACTGTCCCTGTAAGAGCTGGGACCCCACAGGTCAAGGTGGACACACCAGGGAAGACGCCGGACAAAGGGCTCACGCCGGGGCCGGACGAGAATAAACTGCGGAAGAAGAAAGGCAAGAGCGGAGTCTGAGGATTTTCATTATTCTTTTCTGTGATACCCTTACAAGCGCATACTGTTGCATGGTGGATACGTCCAATCGCATTTCCTTTGTAACTTGGATAGAGAGATTCTAGGCCATATGGATAAGCATTTGTGGATGGGATGAAATCGCGGACGACGCTATCTCCTGCAGTGGTCAAGATTGCAAATTGCATCGTGGTCAAATCCTGGGTCGCCATCTGGTGATAGTTAACTGTCTAGGTTGCATCGAGGAACGGCAAGGGGCAGACAATGAGATAGACGAAGTCATTTCCATCAAATCTATCTGTTTCAGCAACAGAGATTCCCTAGAGCGAGTCTCGTAGGACAAAGTAAGGAGTAAGCCACTGTTGTGTGCTGCGACGTATATATACCGCCTGCTGCGGAGATCGCATCCACTTGTTCACCAATCGTGGCGACGCTCGTAGGCACGCAAACCATTGACTCATCCTACCAAAGCCAATAGTTATATACCGCTCTTTTCTCCAATCTCCTCTGACAACGACCCTACACCCTAAATCACATACACTCTTCACCATGGGAAGCCAAGCAAACAAGCCCGCAGTCGTCTGCGTGTTGTAAGTACCTACCGTCCGAACTACTACCCCTCCCCCGCCACCGCCACCATACTAACATCCCCGTCCATCCAGCTGCGGCTCCGTCGCGGGCAACAACCCGGTGCACATGGCGACCGCGCGGGCGCTGGCGCACGAATTCCACAAGAACAACGTCCAGCTCGTCTACGGCGGCGGCACGGCGGGACTCATGGGCGAGCTGGCGCGTACGCTGGTGTCGCTGTCGGGACCTGACGCGGTGCAGGGGGTGATCCCGCGTGCGCTGGTCAAGGTCGAGCCCGGGTACGACAACGCCAAGGAGGAGGAAGAGCCGGCGACGGCGAAGAGCGGGAAGGACGCTGAGATGGTAGTCAAGGATGCGGCGCTGAAGCACGGAGTTCTCAAGCAGACCGAATACGGGTCCGTGACGATCGTCGCGGATATGCATACGCGGAAGCGCCTGATGGCGACCAAGGTGCGCGAGGGAGGCCCCGGATCGGGCTTTGTGGCACTCGCTGGTGGGTTCGGGACCATCGAGGAGGTGATGGAGATGACGACGTGGAATCAGCTTGGGATCCATCATCTCGGGGTCGTGTTGCTCAACGTCAATGGGTACTGGGATGGACTGCTGGCGTGGGTGAGGAAGGCTGTCGAGGAGGGCTATATTGGTCAGGAGAATGGTGGGATCCTGGTCGAGGCCAAGGACGTCGCGGAGGTGTGGCCCAAGTTGGTCGGATACAAAGTGAGCAACGGTCGCATGCAGTTGAACTGGGGTGAGGAGTAGATGGTCCGTTCTCGTGTTCTGCGGTGCTCCTTATGCTTAAGTCTCTGGACAGCGGCTGGCGTTTGATGGCTAGAACGGTAGAAGCGTCGATGAGAGATATAAATAGTGCTCGATCTTACGATATGATGATATTACCAAGGCACATACGGAGCCATCACATTATTTGGAATTCATACTAATGGGAGTATAACACTCAGAGGTAATAAACTAAGGTGTATGAGATGCCGCAAGTCTCCAGGAATCAAGAACGGACAAGATTTTCATGACCATGCACGTATACTCAGAGCCTATGAATCGACCTCCATCGTCTCTCCCTCTTTCGTTTCTGCCGGTTCCTCCACGGTCTCCAGCAGTGGTAAGAGCTGCTGGCCTTCGTAGAGCTTGAAGCTCTCCAGCTTCCCTGTCGGCCCCTGGCCAACCACACCCACTGACGTGTTGTCCACCGTCAACTCCTTGTCCTGGGAGAGAGTCTCCTTGAGGGCCCGAAGACCGTGGGTGATGAGCTCATCGCGGGAACTGTTGGAGATCTGTTCGAGGTTGCGCTCCAGGTAGGTACGGGCCATCTGCGAACGAGCACCAATGGCGCATGCGAGCATCTCGTGGATCATACCGGAGGGCTGGAACTCAAAAAGATGAGGGCCAGCCTCGTCGACGCCGGCGACAAGGAGGCCAACACCGTACGGCCGCTTACCGTACTGCTGAGTGTTCGTCTGAGCACGATCGGCAATCTGGGTGACGATGCGTTCGACGGGGATGGGACGACCATAGGTCATTCTGGATCCGAGAGACTGTTGCTTCATGTAGTTGGAGAGCACCCGAGCGTCGGATGCGAGACCGGCGATAGCGATACCCATGTGGGAGTCGACTTCGATGACCTTCTTCTGATACGAGGAGAGCTCCTCGGCGTTACGCTAGAGCGATGAGAGACAATGTCAGTTTTCCTGCAGTCCTCACTGATGGTCGTGGTCCGTCGCACCTTCAAGCCGACCAGGACGGCGTGTGTCTTGTTGACCAGTCCCACCACGACGGATCCCTGCTTCACAGCTTCCTGGGCATATTCCACCTGAAATATCCGACCTTGCGGGGAGCTGTAGATCAATAAGAGAAGCAATTAGCTATCGGGGAGCTTTCTGTAGGAGGGAGTAGCTAGCTGGCTCATACAAGGTGACGGCATCGTTGTCGTAGTTGTTGCGGAACATCGTGGGAGGTCCAGGGCGTGAAGAGGCAGAGAGGAGTTAAAGAGAGGGAGCTTCTAAGGAAACCAACGGGACGGTAGATGGGAGAATCAGGGAATGGAGAGGAAGAGAGGTTGATGGATGGAGTAGTAGTAGGCAGTAGTGAGACTGACGCGGTGACCCCGAGAGCTTCTCTTCATCCGTCTGGGCGGTCGGGGTGGCCTGAATGCCTGAGGCGTTGCTGACCCAACGTCACCTTCACCTCCAGCCGCCGGAAGCTCCCCTCTCTATCTTCCCCCCAGTCCATGATCGTCACCTTGCCGTCTCCATGCAGACGGTCCCTTGTCCTTCATCTCGGCCCTTGAATCTTCTCTGATTATATTTCTCTTCGACCGCTACCGATATCTCCCGCATACCGCGCTCTTCCCAATCGCCAGCGACGGACCTAGGCGGTCCTACATCTCCGCATCATGACGGCCGGACTCAAGACAATTATCGCACTCTCCTTTGTATGCATGATGCCATCCTTACCATGCACTTGAAACTGCGCATGTGCTGACTTCTGATGTCCCTCCTTTCAGGTGCTCGCCATTGGATTTCTTCTGGTTATCCTTTCCTCTGCCCTGTGGCACAACTTTCTGCCGTTACTCGTCGTTGCGACCTACGTTATTGCGCCGCTGCCGAACTGGATCTGTTCACGATGCGCCAATCCTGATGACTTTATGGACAGCTCGGGCAACGCCGCTGCGGATTTCGGTCGTTTCTTGACGGGTTTCTTGGTTCTGATGGGTATTGGTAAGTCGCACCCGTCTCTCACCTCAGTGTGGAACCATACAGCACCGCGGGTTCGCTCTGCATGTGTCTCGCATATTATTAATTTGGATGGGGGAGTTGCTTGTTGTTTCCTCTGATGCTAATGGTAAAATAGCCCTCCCAGCTGTGCTGGCGCATAGTGGTGCGATCGAAATTCCCGCTATGGTCATGTCCATCCTCGGCGGTCTCTTGATCTATGGAACGATTATTAGTTTCTCGATGTTTTTCAAGGAGCAGGAGGAGTTTTAAATTGCCGCTTAGTACCGGTTAGTGGGGAGATGTTGGCGTGAGCCTTTGAATTGAATTGACCACCACCCGGAGGACTATCGTATATTTATAACACTACGATCCCTTTTCATGAAATTGTTGTTCGTTTTCCATATGATTGGAGTCTCCCTTTTGCAAGTTTGTGTACTTCTGATACTCAGCCCTGATTTAGCCTTTTATTCCGCAAGATGTACTATACTACAGGTACTGTAAGCTTTCATAGAAGACTGTATGGATCAGAATGCTTCCATTCTTCTAACGTGGACCAAGGGCAAGAAAAGCGCAGGCATATCTTTGCTGGATTATCGTTCTCTCGAGAGTTTTCTAACTCGCGGGTTCCGCGATGGCGTTATAGTCAGACATTAGCGTGACGCTCTTCCACTGAGCTTCGGGCTTTGAATGGCTCAGAATATTGTTAAGTCTGCTCATAAGTAATATTAGCAAACTGCCTGGAAGTTTCAAGGATGCTTGTAAGGATGTATGGGTATACATTACAGACTAAAATTGCGCACGTGATGTCGTGACGGTATTTGCGGCGCGTCGTGTTGGATGGACCCCATTAAGAACCACCCATTCTTGCTTCGACGACCAGCCTCTTCCTTAGGAATCTAGTATTCTAGTGAGATGTGACTGCCCAAGCTCCCAAATGATTATACCAAAATGAATGTCTGGTCTGGGGCCATCGCTCTAAACGGGGCGTCTCGACTCCAAGGTAGGCCCGACGATTCTTGTTATCTCACGCGGTGCTCATGAGCTTCGATCTCGGCAGGTCTGCAGTTAATAGATCGATCCTCGAATTGGCAGTCAGATATACCCAGAGGCGCGACTCTGAGCCTTCGCAGTTTCGTAAATCCCGCTTTGATCCCATTATTCGCACGCGTCGGCCCCAACCTTGAACTCCATGCTAGTGATCCAGAAACACAGCAATGGCTGAAGAATAAATTGCTGGGGACACTCTGGGTGGAAGAGGAGGACCTGGATCGCTTTCAGACAATACAAAGTCCCGTTGGCTTTCTTGTCAATGCCAACAGCGCATCACGAACGAAGACCTCAGGCTCATCCACAACCGACCTTCTGATCTACGGGATTCTGTCGAACGGAACGTCGATCGAGAGACCACCTACCCCGCCAGAATCTTGCTCCCCAAGTTCAGACAATCCGCTTCATAACGGCTTGAAGCAGGAACTGAGGATATATGCTGCACCACTTTCGAGTTCCCTTATCACCAAAGCGCACGCCCTCCCGACACCCGAGAATGTTCAGGAACAGGGTGAGGAGGGCCAATATGCGCAGTTCCTCCCAGACCTCCGCTCTCCGAGTCCCAAGCGAAAGCGCGTGGCCACATTATTCGAGTCGGTTGCGCAGCATCATAAGAGGGTCCGCCAGAAGGGCGGAGAGGCTGTGTCACAATTAATGGCACACTCTCTATCCCAATCTCAGCAGTTACAGACCTTTCGAATTAAACGAGAACCAGAAGACCTGGGGCTACCGTCTTCCAATCGGATTACGTCGCATCGAGCGAGGTCTCTTTCTGTCGGCACGAATTTGCATCCAAGCAAGCCATTAGAGCTCCGGACAGATCCTTCTCGGCCTAGCAGTAACCGAAGCCATACGCGCGAGTTTGCATCTAGGAGGAACACGCCCAGCTTTGCTATGGAGACTGCGTCAAAGAAAGACAGGAAAGAGAGGGAATTCTCCCCAGCGTTGCCATCATCTGATGGGAAATTGGAGCTTTCGTCGTCACCGAAGGATGCGGAAAGCATCATCCTGGACAACAAGAACACCATTACTCGGACTATCCTGACCTGTATGCGGCTTTATGGTTTCAATCGCCCCTCTACACGATCTTCAAATAAGGGTCACGTTGATCCCCAGGAGACGGCTCCGACAAACACAGAAGATCGGATGATGACAGATTCCGTCCCCCCGGGCAACTCTTCTAGCACTGACGAAGATGAATTCAAGTCCATGTACCACGCGACTTATCGTGCATCGACATTCGCCCTGCGCAAGTATCTGAAGGAGCCTGCTTGCGACGAAGGGGCTTTGAAGTCATTGCCGCCCGTCTTGGAGAAGGGAAAAGCGATGACCTATATAGACGAGTTTTTGAGGCTGTTCTGTGAAGAGAACTGAGCTTGTCTGGCACAAGCTGATGAGATACGAGCTACGAAGTATATAACCATGCCCTGCCTAACGGGCTTTTAGATCTCAATGCCAACTATGTTGCACATATGACATGGTAGTATCCTAAGCCTTACCGCTAGGATAAATACTAATGATTCTCCGAAGACAAAGTCTTCGTGTACAGCAAAACGGTACACCGTAGATCCATAGTATTCACACTGCCTAAATAGGCAATGCATCGGTGCGGAGATTTTCCGAGCCGCGGACTGCATCATCGCCAACCTCCCGGGCGGCTGCATCGCGATAAGCTACATCCACCGACCCCATCGGCCCAAACGTCCCCCTCCTTCGCCGAACAAACCTACCGACAATATCAACAATGGATGTTTCCGACAACCGCCTCTTCCGGTGGTCCAAGCCGGAATGGCTGAACAACTCGGCCGTGCGCAACGCCGGTGTCTACACATCAGGAGCTCTGGTAAGCTCAAGCTCACACAATGGCCCGTCACCGTGGACTCCGGCCTGCTAACCCGTGATGGTCGTGCAGTTCTCCTTAGGCTTCTTCTTCCTGGTCGACGCGGCGGCCTTCTCACACAGTTCCCGTAACGGATCGTTTGTGCATGTCAAGTTCGTCGACTGGATCCCCGGCATCTGCTCCGCGCTCGGAATGCTCGTCATCAACTCGATTGAGAAGTCCCGTCTGCAGGCGGACAGTTTCAGTTACAGTGGTAGTGGGGTGGCGTGGAAGGCGCGGTTTGTGCTCTTCCTGGGATTTGCGCTGCTGGCTGGCGGGCTTGCAGGGAGCGTGGTGAGTACCTATCTGCTTGTGGTGACCATTGGGGTCCCATGGCGGCGGATCCGCTGGTGGTCTACTGGGCTATGTGTGCTGACTGGGGTGTAGACGGTGATGGTGCTCAAGTACCTGATTAAACAGTACCCGATGCAGACGCTGTACTTTGGCATTGCGAATGTGATTGCCAATGGATTGGTCATGTTGAGGTAAGGATTCCGTCTCCATCCACTGGGGATATCGTACTGATTGTGTCTAGCTCGGTTGTGCTATGGATCTCGCAGAACATAGAGGATGACTATACGTACAACCTGGCGTTGTAAGCGAGGGTGGAGGAACTGTCAGAACACTGTGATGAATAAGCTGTTTTATTGATTGTTCTTGTTTCTTTACTCAGGATGGCGTGGGTGTGTTTCATGATCGCGTTTAGCCTTTTTTGGTTGTAGTAGTGATATACAATGCATTTGCCTAGGATGTCCTTGCGAGTGTTGCGTAGAGCGGGAGCACCCAGTCCCAGGCAGAATAATAAACTCCAGTGGCATGGGTATGATTACGCAAGACAACTACGTATAAACCAAAGACTCGTTGCGACGTTCCGTGTCACCAGTTCTATTGCAATTGTCATGATTCATTCAGATCTATCATGTGCCATCTACCAGGCATGGTACACTATGTGCCGCGGCCAACAGGATGTCCCTAGAGGCCTACTGCCAAGATATATCGCCCTATATACTTTGCACACAGTATTCCACCCAGCGCAGCCGGGTATGCCCTGTACATCGTGCGGGTGCCTCATGGCGTATCAGGCGACCCGACCCATCGTAGGCAGTCATCACGCGGTACGTAACCGAATCCGTCTTGGGGCGTCGGGCAGTGCGACGCGCGCGACACAAGTCGGGTTGAACGGGGTATCACAGCAATTCAAGTCAAAGACATCGAACGGGACCAGTCGAGATTACGCAGACGATTCCACCGGGTGAGCCCGCAGCTTGTCCATGATGCCGTCGACAGCGTCCATATCGGCCGCATCGATCTTCTCGCCGCGAGGATAGCCCTCCGGCAGGTGTTTGGCGACCTCATCCATGGCGGGCTGGTAGTTGCGAACGGCGGAGGAGAGGGCGTAGACGGCCTTTTTGCGCGCGGCGGGGTTGGGGTCGGAGGTCGACATGGCGACGAGGGTGGGGAGGGCGTTCAAGACGACCAGCTACAGAATCCGTTAGCCTTGATCCTTAGCAAAAGAGACGACTGGGGAGGACCATAATACCTTATCCTGTGCCTTTTCGTTGTTCTGCACGGCGGTGCCGACACACCAGGCGGCCATGCGGCGCATATCGGCCTCCTCATGGCGCAGGAGCTCGACGAGGGGCGTCCAGAGGCCGAGCGGCTCGAGGTTGTTTGCGTTGTCGATGGACTCGATCAGCTGCTCGAAATTGTCGAAGGCGACCAGCTTGTTCTCCAGGTCGACCTCGTCGGAGCGCAGAGCCTCCATGGAGGCTTTCATCAGATCGGCGTCGGAGGGCCCGCCGAAGAGCGTGGCCATCATCTCTGGGGTCAGGCCCCGCGAAGTGGCGTCGGCGGCGGCATTCTGGTCGGAGGATGCGTTGGTGGAGTTTTGAATGCTCCATTTGAGGATTTTGTTCATGTTGGCGTCCATGGTGATATTTTTTTTTTTCTGTGCCGAGACTTGGGATATGGGTGTTGCAACGGGATGAGGGAGAATTGATTGTCGATTTCAATCTACCTGATTGATCAAATTGTGTTGTTTTTAAGTGAAGTTGGAGGTTGTAGGACAATCCATGAACTTTTTGGTAGGAGTTAGAGGCGGAAAACTGACGTTATGGTTCTCGATGATTCATGCGCCTCCGGGAGCTTTCCACCGTCTTCCACTGCGGACTACGTCGGAATAGGCTTGGGAATCACCTCCTACGCTGGCTTCACATGGTTTATGCAGCGAATATAGCAGTTTATCATACATCAATCGGCTGAGGATTGTTGGATATGGAATGTTTAATATATGCTGTGTTGGTAGATGTCTGCTCGAGGCATACCCCGCCATACCCTAACCCCACCATGCCTTGAGTTCCTTCAGATAAACCTACGATACTATGACTTTGGGCATCATAAGGCCATAGGAACTCTGACACATTGCATCGATTGCCAAGATACCCCGGTATGCAGACTCTCATTCCAGTGAGGTGAAATTGGCGGGCTGGGATAGCTGGCGGTGGCCGGAAAGGCGGTAAGAGGGCATGTTAGTACTCCGTATTGCTATCTACTAGTACTACTCTTAGTACCAGGGAGAGGGATGGCTACTAGAAGAATGAGGATTAGTGAGGATGCTCATTTCCCAAGTTATTCTTAGTACGGCGATCCTTATCAGGCATCGTTCACGCTGTTCAGGCATCCCAGAAGACCCTGAGGGGCAATCTTACTCGTCGTCTGGCTTGTCTTGGAAGAATCTGGACGCCTGGGTCGTCGTCATCCCCCAAGAAGGGCCCTGTTCCGACGTTTCCCTGATGGGGGGAGGTGGTTCTTTGGGACGCTGATGGGCTGAGCCACCCATCCCCCATCGGGAGCCCCACGAGGATGCGCAAGTGTTTTTGCCATCATCATCACCACCATCCTTTCAGCCTGGATACGACGGCTGAGGATGGAGGGGGCGACGTAGACGAAGGAACCATGGAATCATTCTGCCTGAAGAGGCAGCGAGATTTGACGAAGAGCGGGAAGTGGTTAGGAGGATTGTAAGGTTGATAAATAGGGTGGTTGTATACGGAGTAGACATCGGATGGCAGCTGGAGTGCCATTGACCTTCTCAGGGTGCATGGGATGAATATTCAAGAATAACTACAGCATCAACAGCTTCAGATTTCCACAGATTCCAAACGATTTCGACCGTTCCGATCCTCCAGATTGCCCTGATCAATCCTTCGCGAACAGTGGCGGTGACAGTTGCCCCTATTAAGCGCCCGGTACTTGTTCTGACTAGTGTTGGCTCCTATTAGTCCAAGTACCCCTTCCCCCCTCCCCTTCCCAGAGAGCCACTAAACCCAATCTAATCCACTTTCTCCTTCCTTCCCTTCTCTCTTCTTCCTCTCTCTCTCCCTCTCTCTCCCTCTCCCTCTTCTTACCACATCATCTTAACTCTCCCCATCCAACCAACTCAACCTTCATTTCGTTCTTCCCCTCCTCCTCTCTCATCCACCTCAACCACTCCTCCTCATCACTCCCCCTCCGCTCAGTCTACTTTTCTTTTTTCCTCGTTTCTTTTTTGTCTCCTACTTCGCTTCTTAATCATTCACCATGGAAGGTAAGGTTCCTGCCACCTCAGCGCCTTGCGTCGTCTCGGTCGCTTCTTCCCCTCCGTCCCTCATCCCTGTTCGCACAACCTCGCTAATCTCGCTCGTTTCGATGCTATAGAGGAAGTTGCTGCTCTCGTTATCGACAATGGGTATGTTCCAATGAATTTTTAATTTCCTCTCCATTGCAATGATGGTTTCGGTGATGGTTCTCGTCTTACTGCCTCCCCCTGATGCTGGGTTTCCCTCCCCATCCGGGAAGGTCAAAACACACGCACAAAACCTCTCCCCCCACCATCGCCGTCCACCACCGTCGCACTGGTCGCATTTTCCCTCGAGTTTTGGGAGAATGACCAGTTCTCGAGCTCCAAAATTCAAACGGTCTGTTTCAGAAGCTAACGGTTTCCCGTAGTTCGGGTATGTGCAAGGCCGGTTTCGCCGGTGACGATGCTCCCCGTGCTGTCTTCCGTAAGTCAACCCCGCCATCTCTCCTCATGGACAGGAGGAAATCCAAGCTGGTTTTGGCCCTGTCCATCGAGTCAATTCCGAACGAGCCGATCAACTAACCCCAACAATAGCCTCCATTGTCGGTCGTCCCCGTCACCATGGGTAAAGCTCCCCCAAACGCTCTCTTGACCCACCACCGCCCGGACCTTGTCGGCTGACGCCTCGCAGTATCATGATCGGTATGGGTCAGAAGGACTCCTACGTCGGTGATGAGGCCCAGTCCAAGCGTGGTATCCTCACCCTCAGATACCCCATTGAGCACGGTGTCGTCACGAACTGGGATGACATGGAGAAGATCTGGCATCACACGTTCTACAACGAGCTCCGTGTCGCTCCCGAGGAGCACCCCGTCCTCCTGACCGAGGCCCCCATCAACCCCAAGTCCAACCGTGAGAAGATGACCCAGATCGTCTTCGAGACCTTCAACGCCCCCGCCTTCTACGTCTCCATCCAGGCCGTCCTCTCCCTCTACGCTTCCGGTCGTACCACCGGTATCGTCCTGGACTCCGGTGACGGTGTCACCCACGTGGTCCCCATCTACGAGGGTTTCGCCCTGCCCCACGCCATCTCCCGTGTCGACATGGCTGGTCGTGACTTGACCGACTACCTCATGAAGATCCTCGCGGAGCGCGGTTACACCTTCTCCACCACGGCCGAGCGTGAAATCGTCCGTGACATCAAGGAGAAGCTGTGCTACGTCGCTCTCGACTTCGAGCAGGAGATCCAGACCGCTTCCCAGAGCTCCACCATCGAGAAGTCTTATGAGCTTCCCGACGGTCAGGTCATCACCATCGGTAACGAGCGCTTCCGGGCTCCTGAAGCTCTCTTCCAGCCTAGCGTCCTGGGTCTGGAGAGCGGTGGTATCCACGTTACCACTTTCAACTCCATCATGAAGTGTGATGTTGATGTCCGTAAGGATCTCTACGGTAACATCGTCATGGTATGTTCGCTTTCTTAACAATTGATGCACCCCCATGCTAACAAACCCAGTCTGGTGGTACTACCATGTACCCCGGTATCTCCGACCGTATGCAGAAGGAGATCACTGCCCTTGCTCCCTCTTCCATGAAGGTCAAGATCATCGCTCCTCCCGAGCGTAAATACTCCGTCTGGATCGGTGGTTCCATTCTGGCTTCCCTGTCCACCTTCCAGCAGATGTGGATCTCCAAGCAGGAGTACGACGAGAGCGGTCCCTCGATCGTCCACCGCAAGTGCTTCTAAGGTACGAATATTCCTATGCTTCTTATAAGGGTTCATTCTAACGGTCTAATAGCTCGTGCGCGTGATTCGTTTCGTTCGTCGTATTTTCCTGATGTATCAAAAGACCGATCGGAGGGCCTTCTCTTGACTCGCACTAGGAAGATCGCCTGAAAAAGGAACTTTTATTTTAGTTGTGGAATAGAGATGGTTGCTTTTTGAGACGCTTGTCACTCGGCGCAGGGGAGCATTCGGCAGTAGCCAGGTGGTGTCCGGAGGAGTAGGATGTACATGGGTACTGCGGCCCGCGCGGTGAAAGCTCTCTCTTTCATATATTTTTACGCTCATGTTTGAAATCCTGGGTTCCATGTTGGGCCGTTTTCCCCTGAAATCCTCCTCCCTCGGGCTGGTTCCAATCTTAAGCGCTGCCTAAAATGTTGATTTCCTGTGACCTGATTAGCAAGTCTTTTGTGTTACTGATTCACATGTGCTCGAGTAACTGTACACTGCGTAAGGCGACGTAACGAACGGATGCTAAGGATAGCACAAACCATGATGTCACTGGCGTGTTTCAGATAGAAATCTTAATGTCACTGAACCTCGAGTGGGTTCCTAGGCTTCTAGTATGTCTACCTCATAGACTGGCATAGTGTAAGACCAAATCGGTCAGCATCAATTGACTCCTCTATACAAAAAAGCATGTCGCTTTTGTAGTCTTCAGTCGGAGGGTGGCACGTTGTCTCACCAACCCCATACAATCATCGTTGTCATCATAAGCACGTTCGATGTGTATCATCTTGTCGCATATCAAAACGGGAAGACAGTAAAATAAGGAAATATGTAGCAAAAGAAAAGGTAAAAGGTAGAAAGAAAGATCATATCGTCAAAACGCGCTAACCTAAGCATCCCAGGTCTCAAGTCCGTTGAGGACGCAGCCCTCCTCGCCGGCCTGGCGGGGCTTCAGCTCACCGATTTCGTAGACGGTCTCGCCCTCCTTCTGCAGGAGATCCTTGACCGCGGCCTCAGTGCCCTTCTCCACGGCGATGACCATGCCGACACCGCAGTTGAAGGCACGGGCCATCTCCGTGGCGGTGACGTTGCCGGTCTTCTTGAGCCACGCGAACACAGAGGGAAGCTGCCAGGTCGAGACGTCGATGTGCGCCGTCAGCGTGGAGGGGAGCATGCGGGGCACATTGTCGACGAGACCGCCGCCGGTGATGTGGGCCAGACCCTTGATGGCGGAAGCGGAGGCAGAGGAAGACGAAGAGGGGATGGAGAGGGCCTTGAGGAGGGGCTTGACGTAGATGCGGGTGGGGGTGAGGAGGGCGCGGCCGAGGGAGAGGGGACCGGAGGCGGAGGGCATGGAGAAGGGAGCCGGGCCGTCGAAGGAGAGGCCGGAGCGCTCGACGATCTTGCGGACGAGGGAGTATCCGTTCGAGTGCGGGCCGGACGAGGCCAGGGCGAGGAGCACGTCGCCGGAGCGCATGGCGGCGGTGTCGGGGAGGACGGTGCGGGCGTGTTCACCGGTTGTGTTGATGGCGCCGACAGCAGCTCCGACGGCATCGTAGGTATCCTCGACGAAGAGGCCGGGCATCTCGGCGGTCTCGCCGCCGATGAGGGCGCAGCCGGCCTGGACGCAGCCGTTGGCGACGCCGGTGACGAAGGCGGAGGCGGTGTTGACGTCGAGCTTGCCGCACGAGTAGCAGTCGAGGAAGAAGAGGGGCTCGGCGCCCTGGACGACCAGGTCGTTGACGTTCATAGCGACGAGGTCAATACCAACGGTGTCATGGACGCCCACGGCGTGGGCGATCTTCAGCTTGGTGCCGACGCCGTCGATGGCGCCGATGAGGGTGGGCGAGTGCGGGTGGTAGGTGGGGTTGGCGGCGGCGAGGGAGAAGAGGCCGCCGAAACCACCGATCACGGCGTCGGTACCAGGGCGCTTGGTCTGCGCGACGGAGCTCTTGATCTTGTTGACGAGGTCGTTGCCGGCGTCGATAGACACTCCGGCGGCGGCGTAGGTCAGCGACTGCTGCTGGGAGGCCACAGCGTCACGCTGGCGGAAGGCACGGTGGGCGATGTCCTTGCGGTAGAACATTTCCTCGAAGTGAATGGTGGAGATGCCCGCGTAGCTCTTGCGGACAGCCTCCTCGAGACTGGAGGCGGTAGCCGTGGCGGCAATGACACGACCACCGGAGGTCTGCAGTTCGTTGCCGGAGAGGGTCGTTCCCGCGTGGAAGATCAGGGTGCCTTCGGGGACGGGATCGAGCGTGATGGCCTTGCCCTTGGCGTACGAGTTGGGGTAGCCTCCCGCGACGGCGACCACGGTGGTGGAGAAGTTGGGCTTGACCTTGATCTCGACACCGTCCAGCCAGTGTTCGGTACAGGCGACCATGATCTCCGCCAGATCGGTGTCATCGGTCAGGAGGGGGAGGAGGGTCTGAGTTTCGGGGTCACCACCGCGAACGTTGTATTCGAGGACCTTGGGACCGTCCTTGGTCATCATGAGACCGGTGAAAAGGATACCCACGAAGGGGAAGCCTGGAAGAGGTATCTGTTAGCGGCGCTTTAACGTAGGGAGTAAAGTCGACGAACCATCACGACGCATGCCGTCGATGGAAGGCTGGATGATGGTGCGGTCGATCTCGGCGAGCACCTCTGGAGAAGAGATCGGGGTGGGAGCGTAGCATCCCATGCCACCCGTGTTGGGGCCCTGGTCCCCATCGAAGATGCGCTTGTGGTCTTGCGCCGGAGGCAGGGAACGGATGGTGTAGCCGTCGGAGAAGGTGAGAACACTCAGTTCATCACCCTCGAGGTATTCCTCAATGACGACTTCGTTTCCAGCCTCACCGAACTGGTGGTCGAGCATCATCTCGCGGAGAGCCTGGTGGGCCTCTTCTTTGGTCTGAGGGATGATGACACCCTTTCCACCGGCCAATCCATCGGCCTTGATCACGACGTTGTGGGAGACGGAGTCGAGGTACTTGCGGGCGGGTTCGTACTCGTAGAAGTTCTCGTAGGCGGCAGTAGGGATGTTGTGACGTTTCATGAAGTCCTTGGAGAAGGTCTTAGAGCCCTCCATGCGGGCGGCAGCCTTGGAGGGACCGAAGCATTTGATGCCAACTGAGACAAGTCAACGGAGCGCTTCCGACTAGATTTCACACGAAGAGACTTACCGGCCTGGAAGTAACCCTGAATACCCTCAACAAGGGGAGCTTCGGGGCCGGGCACGACCAGGTTCACGCCATTCTGCTGGGCGAACGCGACCAGACCGTGGTAGTCATTACCCTTCACATTGGCATTGGCGATCTTGCTGGAACCACCCAGACCAGTGCCACCGTTACCGGGAGCGACATAGACAATGTCGACGCGGGGAGACTGGCTCAGTTTCCAGGCGAAGGCATGTTCACGGCCTCCATTACCGACGACCAGGATGCGCAATTGTTCTTGAGGCATTGTGAGTGCAGTGAGTCTCGAGTAACCTAGGAAAGGGCGTTAGAAAGAGGTCATTGAAAGAGAGAAACCGAGTATATGGAACAATATTTTATCGGACTTCAATCGGAGGGGCAGTCGACGATGCCCCTCATTGAGTCATTGGGAGCGATCGTAGACAGAACAACACCAGCAAACAGCGATACTCACCTCAACAGAGAGTCAACCGGAGATTCCACAACTGCACAAGAGGAGAGAATGTGAAGAGGAGGGAGAGACGGGGAGAAGTGATTGATATTCTCTCAACTCTCTTTTTGTCTTTTTTTTTTCTTTGCGGAAAAGCGGGGCGGTTTTTCTCCGCCTCCGGATTGGGACATCTACATTCTTCTCCATGGATCATGGTCTGTTTTGTAGCAGAGGTATATATATAAAGTCAAGAGATAAATAATGCGTTAATCATGTTTGTGTCAGCAGGGGATCCTGTCGAATTGACCTATATGAAAAAGATGTCGGGGATGACAGCACAAGAGAGGAAGAAAATTACTGGAGGCTTATGCATGTATAGATGACTAACACTACATAATACAAAAGTTAAACCCAAACGGGATGGTTCGATTCTGTTTCAGCTTCTTCGCCTCCAACACGCCTCGACTTTCGACTTTTCCTCCCATCTCCTCCCCTTCCTCCAATTGAACCGGTCGTCCTCCTACGTCCCTCGAGAACGGCTCTATACAACCTGGCCTGAATGTTCCGGACCTCTCTGCGGTCTGTTTCAGACCCTCTCCGCGAACATGTCTGCTTGTTCTGTCTAGCGCAGCGTTTCGGAGCTCCCAACGGCCTCCGCAACTTCACCACTTCGTCCGCCGCGCGCTCCCAGGCCCATCCCAAAAAGGCCGAGGATGCCGCGTCGCGTGCCATCGCGGAAGGGTTCAAGTCTCTGGGCAAGGTACGATTTTCCAAAATGCCTCGATTCTGTCTCGTCGCGTTGCGCGAATCTGCCAGTCTAGAAATTCTCCCTACATCGGTCGTCGCTAACTCGCTCACGCATGTGTAGACTCCTCCAGGGCCGCCGAATCGAGAAAAGAGAGGCCGATCCCCAGATGCGCGTTCGAAAAGTCACGACAAGGATGGCGAGAAACAGAATTCCAAATCCTCCACGGCAGATCATGACGCTACGGCCGATCAGGAATCCAAGGGGAAACCACGTAAAGCCACCCAAAAAGCGCGGAAGGTCGCCGTCAAACGGGTCCGGAGAGCATTGTCCAAGGAACGGAAATCGAAACGGCCGTCCAAACCTGTGCCACACGAGGTGACTGAATCTCAAGAATCGGTGAGTTTCGTGTTATGCTACTCTTTGGATCGCCTCTGCTAAACAGGTCCAGTCGGCGCGAATCCAATCATCCCTCCAGAACATCGTTTCACAGCTCCCCGGAGAAAAACACTCGACCAAATCTGATCGAGAGAATCCCAAAAACCTACCATTTGTGATGGGCTCGGTACACGCCAAGGATTCTGGCAGCCTTGGGATTCAAGGCCTACATTTGAAGCGTATGTCTCCTGGGGACACTATCAAAATTGATGCTAACGGTTACGCTAGCGTTGGATATCGAAAGACCGCCAGTCCCTCAGCTCTCCTTTGGCTTGGAAAGGGTTTTGTTCAAGTGAGCTCGCTCTTCCCATAGGTCTTTCGTTCATAAAACAGCTAACATGCCTTAGTCCCGGTGTCTACCATCTTCGCGACCCTCGATCTCGTGTCTTCAACTTCGATCCTTATCTGGGATCGATTATGCCCGTTACCGAGTTCGATTTCGCCGCACTGAAGGAATACATCACATCCTCCAAGGATGACACGTTACGGGACATTGCCCGGAAGGAGAAGAAGAAGTACATGGGTTCCTCGTCGAGCATGACATCAGTTCTCTCGCACTTCCATTATCTGCTCTCGTCCTGGCGAGGAATTGACATCCGCACTATGTCGCAGGGGTTCCCCGATAAACTGCGTACCTTTACGCGGCTGCTGCGGTCCCCCTCTGCCATGTTCCTCCGATACCAAGACGGAGTCTACGCCATCGATGCAGACAAGGAATTCGATACGGCCAACATCCTCATGAATTTGGGGAAGTCTATGGAAAAGCTTCTCACACTACCGAAAGAAGATTTCGAGCGGTACAGACGCTCGAGCACCAACAAGATCTCCCCGGAGGAGGAACAGGCTGTGCCTGAAGCCTACCACTATTCCACGCTAGGCGACTTCATCATGCGATCCCAACTAGACGCGTATGACCCACGACTACCTGGGACGGGCATGTTCGACCTGAAGACCCGAGCCGTCGTGTCTATCCGAATGGATGCGCGCAATTTCGAGCAGGGCCTTGGATACGAGATCCGGGACCGATTCGGGGCATACGAGTCGTACGAGCGCGAATTTTACGACATGATTCGGGCTGCGTTCTTAAAATACTCGCTCCAGGTGCGCATCGGCAGAATGGATGGCATCTTCGTCGCCTTCCACAACATCGAGCGTATCTTCGGCTTCCAGTACGTCAGCCTGCCGGAGATGGACCTCGCACTACACGGCCAGAGCGACACCTCCCTAGGCGACGCCGAGTTTCGTCTCAGCCTCGCGCTCTGGAACAAGATCCTCGACAAGGCCACGGAAAAGTTCCCCAAGAGGTCTCTGCGTCTCCATTTCGAGACCCGCGACGCCCAGACCCCATTTATGTACATCTTCGCGGAGCCCGTCACCGACGATGAGATCCAGGCCATCCAAACCAAGAACCAGGCCGAGATCGACGCCTACCAGCGCCGCATCCTCAACCTCTCCCACGAAGACCAGAGCACCCCCTCCGACACCACGCCCGGCAGCACCATCCGGTCCCACATCCCCGAAAACCCCAGCACAGCCGCTGCGAAGTCCTCTTCAGCCACAGAAACGCCTCAACCCGCCGAAACCACGGACGAGACCGACACCGCGGAGGACTCCGCCCTGTCCAGCTCCGAACCAGACTCCACCGGCCGACAAGAACCAGACTACAGCAAGGAGCTCCTCGCGATGACCCTGGTGGTCAAGAACAAAGTCAACGGCCGCTACGTAGAGCGGCCGGCGGACTTCTCCGCGACGGACCAGTGGCAGATCGAATACGAAGTCAACGAGCTGCAGGGCAAACAGGCGTACTCGCTGTACACGGCGTGCCAGAAACGGCGCGAGAAGGCCCTCGCCGGCCGCGGCGAAGACGAGACCGAGGTCGCCAATAACGTGTACATTCGTCGGCTGCGCGATATCAGCAAGCAGGGTCGCAAGTTCCGCCAGAATGAGGAGAAGCTCGATAAGGAGAAGGGTGTCGTTGTGTTGGGGGATTCATAGCCTCCTCCCGTCGGCGCGATCCTTGACCGGGAATCACACTCGTCTACCTAGCATATCATACAACGCATCCTGCTGGACGGACAGCTTCAAGATTGTCCGGGCATACCTGTTTTGTCTTGTCCTGTACTTATAGATACCAACCGCTCTGATAGAGTTCCCTGTGTATAATATCATATAGATCCTATTCATACCCTTTGCACTCGGCTTCGGATTTTGCATGGTTACTCCGCTTCTTTTCTGAGGCTGTTATATGTTTCGTTGGGCGTGAGGTTTTGATAGACCAGCCTTGTCTTTATTTAATACATCTTTTACACTCCTACATACGTGCTCTCAAGTCCAGTGTCATAGTGTCTCAATGTAAGCTCTCATTCGATATTCTATGACATTAACAATTAGACATCAGTCGATCAATGAAGTAGCCAGGGTAGAAAAGAAAGTATCCGACAGATTGTACAGGGTACCTCAAGGTACCAACAACCAACCACCCATCCCAGTGAAAGCGAGCTGAAACAAACGCCACCTCAATCCGGTGCACCAAGTCGAACAAGGGTTCGAACCCAATGAAGGAAAAGAAACAAAGAAAGGAGCCAAGACCGTCCAGGTCTCAGCATATCGACACCGGCCAGAGAAAGAAAGATATGAACGCCAGCGGGACTCCAACCAAAGATAGAATATAAAGAAAATGAAGATATGCGCTGTAAATCAAGACAGGAGACGGACTGTTGTCTCCGGGTATGTGGTGGTATGTATGGAGACGACAGGTGATTTTGGTACGAAGTGTAATAACAGAGGAAACAAAACCCAAGGAGCTGGGCCCACTGCGAATCGAGGTCGTTTCGACTAGCGAAGACCAAAAAATATGTATGTATGGATGCGTGTGTATGTATTGTGTGTGATGTAGGAATCATGAATCATCCCCGAGGAACTCCCTTCGCTGGCGACTCGGGAGTGGCTAGGCTACCGGAAGTCCCCGAGGTCAAGCTTGGGCGGCGACCAGTTCAGTTGTGGCGGGCGGTCGTTCGAGACGCACACGGCGCCCGATCTCATCTTCTCCATCTTGCGGCGCTCTCTCGCGGCTCCCCCGCTCAGAAAGCCCCGCAGGGTCGACGATGCCGCGCCGTACGTACTCCGGGAGCTCGCCGCCGTTCCGGTGCTGGTTGACACGGTGCTTGAGCTGCGCGCACTGCGGACGCTGCTGGTTTTGTTGACGGCGGAAGGCATTGCTGGCACGGGCGCGGGAAATCGAGACGACGGTGCACCCGACGAGGCGTACTCGGAGGGTAGGACGGATGACGAATGCTGCAGGAACGGCGCGGTCTGAGGCCGTTCTTTAAGCTGGGATTCAATGTTGTTGTCCGCGTCGAGGCGGGAGAAAATCTCCAGATGACTGCTCTGGGTTGGCTCGCGAGGGGCTTCGCGTGGAGCTTCGTGTGGAGCTTCGCGAGGAGGCTCGGGACTCTCAGGCGAGGTTGAAGAGTCCGTTGGAGAGCTGCTCTGGACTTCGTCGGTGGATACAGTGACTTCGTACTTTAGGTTATCCAACATAGTCCCGAGGCTTGCTGCCGTGGCAGGGCGTCCGTCGCTGCAAGCATCATCACCCTCGACAGCATCGTCTACGCCGTTGGCCAGGTTGTAGTTGCGGAACAGATATCGTCGCAGACGGGCAACCTCGCCGTCCCACTTTTGGGTTAAAGAGCGAATAATTGCATCGATGTCCTGGGTCAGGAGAGGCGACGAGTCGGCGGACGACAGACTCGAGGGCACGGAGGCGTTCGCCCGAATAAGGCCGGAAGGAGGGGCGGGTTTGGTCACCTTGTTCCCAACAGCCATCTGTTTCACATTCATTGCAACATGTAATGAGCGGCGGAGAGAGCTGGTAGCCGTACTCTGCGTGTGGCTCAGTTCACGCTTGACGCTTTCAATCTCTCGTCGAACCTTTTCCAAGGACCGGACCCGGTCGGAATTCATGCAAGAGAGACTCAGGAGCGACTTATTCCGCTGCAGTCCATTGACCAAGACAGTAAACGACTGTAGGTTGATATCGTTGTTCTCACAGTGGACTTCACGCAGACAATCGTTTTCTTCCAGGACGGAGGCCAAGGTATTCGCGCCCTGAAGGCCTAGTTTCTGATGCTCGATCCTCAACACCCGCAAAGACTTGTTCTTTTTCAGACCAGTCAAAGCTAGATTGAGACCGATTCCAAACCGGGCCACATCCAGATGTGCGCTCTCTCCGCTGATATCCAAGTCCACAAGCGTCTCATTCTCCTCAAACATTAACTGCAGAGACTTGCACGTCTCCGGCCCGGCGTCATACGGCAGAGACGCCTTGGAGATATCCAGACACTGTAAGGAGCGGTTCTTCCGCAGCGCCTCGACGAGTTCCTGGAATTGCTCCTCTTTCTTGAAGTCAATCATCCGCATCGACAGGTGGGTCGGAGCCTTGTTCTTGGCGATTGCGTCGAAGAGAAAAGAGCATCCCTGATCCAGCCGGTTCTCATTGACGTGCAGATGCAGGTTGCGAGGTGTCTCGACTGCAGACAAGGAATGGAGAAAGATCGCCACGTCCTGCCCTGTCAGACAGCACTGGTCGAGTCGTACCACCTGCAATCGTCGGGAACGATCGCTCGCTAAATAGGTAGCGATTGCGTCCACCGTCTCGCGATTGACCGCCGTTTGGCTCAGCGACAGTTCTTCGAGTCGCCAATTGAAGAGGGTCTCTGCCGTGATGAGCGCTTCGGCGCCGGACGTTCGCGAGATGCGGGACAGGTCGAGTTTCTTGATCTGGGTGAAGTAGCCGAGATATTGCTGTAGGAGGTCGGGATACAGCCGCCCCTGGACGCCCGAGATATTGATTGCCTCGAGCGTCGACGCCTGTGCAATAGTCGTCGACAGGAGCAGGTCGATGTCATGGACTGACAGGCCGCAGTTTCCGACTTCTAGCGCCCGCAGATGGCTCCCTCGTTGCGAGGCTGCATCTACCAGGTAATCGAGATCCGAGTCACCCAGCTTAATTCCATTCAGCACGACCCAGTCGACGCTGGTGAGCTCCCGCCGGCAGATCGGGAAGATTGCCTCGGGGATCCCACAACCGGGATCATGGCTTTCACTATCGGACTTGGGCGTTCTGGTCAAGGTGTAGGAAAAATCCAGACGCCGAAGCCACTTGCTCTTCAGCGTCAAGGCGCGCACCTCTTGTGACAGGACGGATAGATTCTCCTGGCCGGGGATGCGGATTGGAGCCCCGGCACGGCTCAATAGCATGTCCTTGTCCAAACCGTGAACATCCCGGACGGCCTGGAGCGCATCCAAGCAGACCCCACTAAAGGAAATCGACCGAAACGACTCGTTGTAGCGCAACGCTCGCATGACCGCGATTAGCTCCAGAGCCGTGTATTTCTGTCGGTTGGGGGAAGCGGGAGGCAGGAGTCGGAAGCATGGCGCATCGTCACAGTCCACGTCAATCGTATAACGGATGTTCGAGGTGTCAATGTCGTAACTGGCAGAATAGGCAACCAGGGTTCGATCGAAGCAGCCGTAGTCTTCATCTAGGTCCACCGGCGGAAAGTTGGAGTCGTTGTCCAGATCGCGGGGGACGAGGAAATCGTAGGGCTGTCGTATCCACAAAGGCCGTAAGAACTCGGTCTGCTGCCTTAGCCAGAAGGCGATCTCCAGCGAGTGTACCGAAGCCAAGAACACCGAAAATGGCTTCTGGAGAGGTACTCGAAAGGTCAGGTGTAGGCTGTCGTCGCCCCACTCCATCGACAGACAGGTCAGATTCATCAGTCCAAAAGAAGTGGCCGCATCGAGGTCGCTCAACGACACCACCGACGCGCGACTTGACATCTTCTGCAGAGGAATCAGATGCATTTTGTGAGAGCCCAACGCGAGATAGCATCCGGTGGGCGACAGCTTGGTCAGGTCGTCCGACGACGCCCGCGTCGGGGACTTGCTGGAAGCCATCTGGATCACACGGAACATGCGAAAGGTCTCGGGATCATAGTCTCGTTCGTACTCCAGCATCCGGACCGCATACTCAACCGACTTCCGGTCGAAGGGCAGGGGGTCGGACGTTCGAATGAGCTCGGCCGCGGAACGGATACCCACCATCCACAGGTTCAGTTCTTGGAAATCCGGGGTCTGCATCTGGATAAAGGCGGCCTTATGCGCCCGTTCGTCCAGGTAGGCGACTTCCACGGTGGACGACGGTCGTCCGTCGTCGAGCATGTACACCGCCACAATGCTGTTGAGGGGGATTCCCGCCGCGGGGTCCCCGGGCGCCGCCAGCTGCTGATCATGAAGCGAGCTAATGGAAGCCACTGACTGGCGATTCCCGGCGGCGCGAGCGAACGAGGGTGGAATGGAGGGGAAAGCCTCGGCGGCTTTGCTTTGGTTCTTGAAACGGACCAGATGCGTATCGGTCAGGACGAGATACTGGCTCTTCTTTCGCCACATGCCGCCGGTGGTCTGGATCTCCCCGTGGTGCAGAATGATGGAACCGATGCCGGGGCGCGCATCGACATCGTCATCGTCCAGGGTTGGAGAGGTTTTGGCGCGACCCAGGGCCTTTTCGTCGTCATCCAGGGAGTGGAGGGAACGCAAGGAGCCAAAGACGGAGGCGCGTTTCTTCTGCATGGATTTGCGGCGAGGACGGGGGCCTTCCAAGGCGGCGGACATGGCCGTTACACCGACCGTGGACTCGGAATCGGCGGTGCCGGGACGGCGGAGGCCATGAGAGGCGGAGGCGGCCCTCGGAGGGCTCGCATTGCGACCGCCAAAGAAGCCGGAATTGCGACGGTTCCTCTTTCTGAGGACATGGACATCATCCGAGGGGGAGCGATCATGGGTGGTGGTTTTGGTGGTGGTGGAGATGGCGGGACTTGACAAGGACGAGGTGGTGACCGATGGACTGAAGACACTGAAACTCTTTCTCCGCTCTTTCTTCCCCCGGCTTTCGGCCATGACGGATGGGAGGAAGAAGAGAAGATGCTAGAAGGAGGCGAGGGCGGAAGGGCGTTGCGGGAAGAAGCTGGTGATCACATCGACGCCCTGGAATTATGGAGTTATAGGGATGGAGACTTGAAGGGGGGGAAGAAGAGGAGGTCAGCAAGGACGACAAGAGAAAAAGAGAGAAGACGATACGATAAGGGAGGAGAAGAATTATGCGGCCGGGGGAGATTATTTTTGGCGAGGGGAGCTTAGAGAGGTGGAGAAGGCGACAGAAACACTAGACGGGAGAGGCTTAGGAGGATCGAGAGGTGAAACATACAGGCGACTTGTCTGCCGGGGCCATGAGCGTGCTGTCGTGGAGATGGGGAGCGGTAATGAGCGAGGGAGAGGTCAATTGAAGGGACAGGAGCAATATAATCGACGAGGGCGAGAGAGATGGAGACCAAAGAGGGACAGGCAAAAAATGTATGGGGTAGTAGTATCAAATTGTCGAACTGTCACGCCAACGCGGCACACAAATGAGAGACGAGGATCCACAGGCGATGAGGAGCCGGAGTACGTGGAAGGTTGCAGAAACCCTTGTCGAGGATGCGGAGGGGCAGATTGAAGCAATTGGGAAGCGACCGGAAGGGGAAGAGGTGAGGCTGAAAGCGGAGGAATCAAACAACAACGGGGTAGTTATGTGGAAAGGAGCGAGGGTGTCAGAATGAAATCATTCGATGAGTGAAAGAGAGGAAGTAAAGTAAAGAAAGAAAGATGATGTCAGTGCCGGAAGCAGCCAGAGAATCTCCGCAGATCCAGACAGGGAGGCCGATTGGGTCAGGGGAGAGGTTCGGATGATTTGATTCTTCCTTCCGCATGCATCTGATTATTATTATTTTATTATGATTCTGATAGCGATCATCCGATCATCAACCCTAATCATACATCTCGCCACGTCCTTCCAACTATGGAGTCCTACCTAACTAGGTACCTGTAGTTATCTAAGGACTCCATATGTACAAGTACTCCATATAAACTACCTACTCCGTACTTTGTATGATCCCCCTGATCGTCTATGAAACACAGCCGATCCGGTGGATCTCGTCGCCTGTCGATTCTTCTTCTCGTGAAAAATCCATCTCAAACACTAACGGCTCCACCGCCCCAGTGCAGGATGCCACTACGGAGTTTCCCTACACCCTATGGATATTATTATGGCGCCATGATTTACGGGAAATGAATGGCATCGATATACTCAATTCAAATACACCGTGACACCGGAACATAATCTGCCTACCTATGTACGGGAGTACCTTAATATCCGATCAAAGCACGATAGTACATATAGTACATCAGACGAATAAATCACCCGAACCACGGATCCTTCCAATAGCTCACATCCTCCCGGACATGAACCTCACGATCGACGCACAACAACGATTCTCCCTTCGGAACCGAGATCCATCGATCCATCCTCTGCCCAGGTAGGCAATCTCCACACGGCACTGCAAACTTTCACAGCGCCACCGATAGTCAGGAACAGCCGCCATCACAGCCTCACTGCTCATCGCGAACCAAACCAGCGGTTCAGCAGGAAAACAGTACTCCGCAGGTGCTCCGTAGTTAGCTACCTATTAGGATCTACAAGCCACAGGCCGGTAGACGCTATCGAGTCTACCCTATTCCAGACTATTCCCATATCTCGCCGCGCGCTGCGCCTGCACTCGCTCTGCGCGTTTCGTCTTCCGCACCAGATCAATGTAGTCGTTCACCCGGCGCTCTGCCCAGATACACCCGCCCAGCGTCATGGCCGCAATCTGCAGGAACACCTTGAACTGCGGCGTGAGCGGCCGGTAGACCCGCGCCGTCGGCGACAGCCACTCCGAGAAGCCCTCAAGCGGCCGGTGGAAGAAGCGCGCCCGCAGCGCGTCTTTCGAGAACGGTGAAGGTCGGTGTGGCGGAGATGTCGGGGATGACGATGGTGCAGGTGGCGCAGCCGGCGGCGAGAATTTAAAGGGGTGTGGGAGAATCAGGATCATATGGGCGAGGATCGAGACGGAGCCGAACTAGACGGGCTGCATTAGTGCTCGGTGTCGTCTGAATTTTGGGCATGTCCGAGGGACTCGGCCATAGCAAGGCAACTGGCTGGTACATCACATACCCGGAAGGCTCCCGCAAGGAACCCGTAGACCGCCTCGGTGGTGATCTGGTCCGGGGGCTCGATGTCCTGTTTCTGGTTGGAGGGGGGAGGCATCGTGCCCAGTTCTCAAATTCAGGTAAAACACATGAATTGTACTCCGAAGGACGTAGTTGTCGACACTATTGCATGGTGATACTCGATACTCCGCGGAATGACGCATGCCGGATCAACCATGCTCCATGTCCGAACCGTACCGCTGGTATTTCCGATACGCAAAAATCATCCCGCCGACGTCGAGTAAAGAAAGATACCAATCACATCACCATCATTAGATTCACACCTCTTCTACACTCAATTCCTCTCTACGACCCTCACTACCTCGCCCCGCCTAACCCTGAACCCACCACAATGCCGCTCCCTCCCCGCACCGCCTCCATCTCGCGCGTCACCAACGAGACCAAGATCCAGGTCTCGCTCTCGCTGGACGGCGGCGTGCTCCCTCCCTACGAGCCGTCAGCGCACTTCCCCGCCCCCGAAGACCCCCAGGAAGCCGAGGCGGCGCAGCGCGGCATCGTGCCGCCCAAGGACGCCGGGCATGCAACACAGTTCACGCCCACGCAGCAGATCACCGTGAGCACGGGCATCGGGTTCCTGGACCACATGCTGCACGCGCTGGCGAAGCATTCGGGGATGAGTTTGGCCATTCGCGCCAAGGGTGATTTGTACAGTGCGTCCCCCTCTACAAAAAACCTTCACCCCGGCAGAACGGCAAGCTGATAAGTTGTAGTTGACGACCACCACACGACGGAAGATACGTTCCTCGCGCTCGGCGACGCCTTCACGAAAGCGCTGGGCGCGCGGCAGTCGCTGGCGCGATTCGGGCGTGGCGACGCGCCTCTCGACGAGGCCCTGTCGTGGGCGGTCATTGACCTGTCCAGCCGGCCGTGGGCGGTGATCAACCTCGGGTTCCGGCGAGAGAAGATCGGCGACCTCAGCACGGAGATGATCACGCACGGGTTGCAGAGCTTTGCGCAGGCGGCCGGCGTCACGCTGCATGTCGGGTGCACGTACGGCGACAACGACCACCACCGCGCGGAGAGCGCGTTCAAGGCGCTGGCCGTGGCGATCCGCGCAGCATGCACGCGGCGTGTGGCCGGCGAGGTGGGCGCGGGCGACGTGGTGAGCACCAAGGGGGTTTTGTAAATAGGTGCATATAAAAGGAGAAGGGTAGTAGGAATGATGATGAATATGAATACGGATGCTCAACATCGTTCATTTTATCCTACCGTGCTATGCTATGCTATGCTATGCTCAAGCCTGTGACGCCCGCGCCACGAGCCTGCGGAGTAACTCCAAGGGAAAATCAAGCAGTCTTCACGCCCAAGGCCTGTACCGCCCGCTGCCAGTACGCCTTGCGGTCCTCGTTCGCCTCCGTGCCCACACAATCCGTGATATACTGGCGCCAGCCGGCCTCAGACCCGGACTGCAACTGCTTGCGCACGGCGTCGGTGCACTGCGTCGTGAGGAACCAGGCGCCAGACGCAAAATCATACCGCTCATCAGCCAGCAACAGATTCAGCACCTCGGCGGGCTTATCCGCAACCGGGGCCAGCTTCTCCGCCAGCGCGGGGATCGACTCGGCGTATTTCTTGTTGAAGGCGGGGGACTGCATATTGCGGGCTACAGCTGTCAGCTTTCAGACTGCAAAAATTAAGGCAAGAGTGGAAAACGTACTCCCCTGCCCCGGCACACCGGGACTTTTGTTCTTGTTGTAGCGAAACTCGACGCTTTCAAAGGCGATGAGGCCGATCACAGCGGCCTGTTCGGCGGGCGAGGTGATCTTGTAGGTCTGGAAGGCTTTGGCGATGTTGGGCGCGGCCTGTTGGGCGGTGGCGCACTCGTCCGGAACCTGTACATTGGCGCAGGACTTGGAGCTCGGAGCGATGGCTTCGATCTGCTGGGCGGAGATGTTGACCTGTTGGGCGATGCTGCCATGGTGCAGGGATGAGAGTGGGATTGCGTTGGCGAGGGGGAGGGCGGCGAGCCCGATGGCGTGGAGAAGGATGGCGGTCTTCATGTTGGTGTTGGTGTTGGTGTTGGAATAGTAGAGTGAACGAGGGATGAGGGGTTTGTATGAAGGAGAGGTGAGATATAAATACCGTAGCCTGTACGGTCTATGTCGTCCAAGGGAATGATAGTGGCGACAATGAAGACAAACGAAGGAATGCGAGAAAGAGAGCAAGAGAGAATGACTCAAGGCTGGTAATAATAAAGAGTCCAACGACCTTCTCACAAGGGGCCTTTATACACGGTCACATAGCTGGCCGTGGAGACGAGGCTAGCATACCTTGGGCACCTCCCATCCGACGATCGGTGGCCATTGGCATTCAGAATACGCGCTTTGTCACTCGGGCTTTTGGCCACCGTTTCAGATTCTCCCGTCAGATTGGACAGCAGATTGGAAAGCAGGCCGGTGTCTTTGACGGGGACTGGATCATTGGGGACTGTTCGTCAGCCTGAAACCCCGGAAAGCTTCTTTGTCCGGATTCTGCCAGTAAGCGATGCCGATTGGGGACTACACACCCCCTCCCTTACGGCGATCAGCGCTTCAGCCCTTACAAAGTACCTCACTTACGATCAACTTTAGCAAAACTCTTCATCTTGTATTATTTGCAGGCACTCCAGTCCGCCCCGGGCTCCTGGATGTGCCATCCCTCCATGGGTAAGTCTATGTGTATCAAGAAAGAAAGGGGAATTAAAGCCATATGGGGAACCCGACAGAAGCGAAAACACAGTAAAAAGGTCGTATATCGAAACACCAGAGATCTCAAATGGAACGGTACTCAGGTACAGATCCAAGTCATCTTGCCAAAAAGAAAAGAATGGGGGAGAAAAATGTACGAGAAAGCAGTTGCCCCCAGAAGCGCTTCTGTGGAACCTGTTCCCAGAACGCCATGCATGCACGTCAAATCAGAATACCCGAACAGAGCAACTCACACTTGCGAAGAACTCGCAAATTCGCGGTAACAAAATCAAATCCGAAAGTCAGAGTTCGTATCAGGACATGGACGCCCGCCAAGCACACATAACAAAATGGAAAGGCCACCGCTTAGTCGCGGCGGCTGTAGAGTTCGTACGACGTCTCGACCGCCCCGGCTTCTTCGTCCTTGAAGCTGACGCGACGGAGGAGCGTGGGCATCGCGCGCCGAGAGCCGCGGGACGGAGACGACAGTCGGGGCATGGAGATGAAGGACGGCAGCTTCGCGTAGCGGTAGCGGTACTTCGATCCCCAGACCATCAGTCGACCGTACGAGCACCACAGGCAGTATCCGACGGTCCCTGCCAGCAGGAACCCAAGGAAGGTCAGGAATATCCAGTGCTGTCCCATCCAGAAGATGAGCCGGGCGTCTTTGCCGTGCCAGCTGTTGCCGACGTGGTGGGTGAAGAAACTCCAGCTGAATTTGTTGTATTCATCGGGCATGAGGATGCGGACGCGACTCGACTCGTTCGGCATCTCGCTCATGTACTGTTTCCAGATGACCGACAGAAACAATGGGCCCGTCGAGTACATCACCGTGATGTAGGGGAGCAGCCAGCTGCGGTCATAGGACTGTAACACTTCAATCACGCGAAGGAAGAACGGGTGTTGCGGGACAGACCCCATGGCATCGTTCGAGATACCCGTGGGGGCCGTGCGGCGCACCCAGGCGGGGTATGCGAGCAGAGGATCCAGCCGACGGTTGCAGCCCTGTCGCATTGTTAGTATGATAGTGCCTCCGTTTCCTGGGGTTCGTGGGGATGGACCTACGTCGTCAAGATCAATGTAGGGTGCCACCATAGTGAGCCCAACACAAAGTAACGGAATCTAGTCGGGCGCGCTGAATGGGGGTATTTGTAGCC